TTCAGTAAATGTGCTTCTTTCATTAAATAAACTATGAAACAATTTAAATAGCAAATACCTTGATGAAACTTCGGGTGTCTTGATGGTACAATAGGAAATCTCTTTGCGGTTTATTTTTGCTAGCTATAATCCGTGTCTTTTTTTTGATAATTCCCTTATTTGATCCTGATGAGTCATTTCCAGAGGAACAGTGAAGACACTGTTCGTTTTATCCCTTTCAGAGCATCTAGAACAACCAAATACACAACAAAACCTGCCCATGTTTTTCCGATGCTGCTAATGTCAAGTGACATAGTGTGCCCGGTGTCATGGCGGCATGGGTACCGTTGCTATAGGAGTCAGGTGATGGTGCAAAGCCTCTATAGTGGCTTACCATCACCAGGTATAGAGTGAATGAATAATGCTGAATGTAATGCTCTGTAAAGCGTCTTTGTGACAAAAATGTCTGTGGAAAAAGTGTTATATAAATAAACACTTAATTATTTCTCACACTTTGAACCCTGTGGCTAATAAAATGATGCGTCTAATACATGGATGAATTCATTGTTTGGCACATTGTTCATTCATAAATACGGTCTATGGTTTGGCAACACAGTGGATACACACAGCCTGTGCAGAAAACACCGCTGTCTGTGCGATTACACATGGATCTAGGAAACACATGAAGTTACTACACGAGCTTGTGATATTGTCAGTGCACTCAAATAGTTTATCGCTGTGTGATAAATTAAGTTATGATGCTAAATGAACATTAGTGAGGGGGATACGTCTTACCCGAGTGAGTCGATGGTGAGATTTTGGCGACGGTAGCGGGACGAACTGACTCGATGCAAAAAGACGACAAAAGCTTTCAGAGGCGATAAAAGCAGACGACCCGAACTTGAAAATGTTTTTGAAGACGTGGACACCTGCGGCTTATATTCAGGTGTGGCCTATATATGTACAATTTAAAATTTTGTTGATGCGGCTTATATTCAGGTGCACTCAAGAGTCTGGAAAATATGGTATATGTCAGAATAGTGATACTAAAAAGTGTCATAAAACTGGCCCGTCTTAATAGAGGCATGTTGTAATCAAGGGGTGTCGGAATAAGCTGCGGACTCTGAAACATAACAGAAAAGGATAAAAATCACCTCTTTAATGATCTTGAAGTGCTAGAAAAGCCCAAAGTCGCTATAAAGAAGCTGACTTGGCAAGTCGGATTCAAAATGTAAAGATGTAGATTTTACAACCTCACAACAAAGCGTTGTTTTTTGCGCGTTCGCATGATAATGACACATCTACTTCCTGGTTTGGATGTGCAGGTAATTGCAGGAGCAGGGACAAACACGGGTCTCGTCAGCCTCATGAATCTCAAAGTCTAAACAAGGTAATTGGCCCTTCAGAACTTTCAGGAATTTCCCCGCGATCACAGCCAACAGGAACGGTCGTACCTCCAGGCACTTTGGAAAGAGCTTAGATGTTTTCATTTCTTTTGCTTTAACTTATTACGTCAGCGGAAGTTGAACTCATGGTTTTACAGTTTGAATTGCAGCAGTAGTCGTGTGTAGAAGCTTTTAAAGATGCACTATGTCACTTTTCTGGTGGCTCACTTTGCTCGTCTGCATGGAGATGTTTTTATTACTTTACCTAAAATGTTCTGCAGTAACGCATTAAACTTGGCCCACTATGGCTTACATACGGCTTATAGACTAACCGCTATGCCAAATCTTTTACATACTAAATACTTTACATCAACTATAATAAACATATTGGAGGGTCAGATTACTATAGTCATAGGTTTCCCCTATTTAACTATCAGCCCTGTCTATTTGAACAAGATTCCAAATCATTTTACATCACTTTGATTGACCTAACTCATTAATAACTACTTATCTCATTTTCAGTAAAATATGTTTAAACAACTAAGTCATTTTTAACATTCAAAAGTTATAATCGACATAAAAAACACTTTCAAATATGTCAATATGTTTTAATTTGCAGATACAGTATTAATATTCAGAGTTTTCTATAGAATTCAAGTTCTTTATTAATAAAATATAGATTTTAATAGAGGGGTCAATATTCTATGGGGGGGTCAACAAACTATAATAGGATTCTGACCCCGGGGTCAAAATACTATGTGGTATGTTGACCCCGGGTCACCTCACCGCAGGGTCAAAATCCTACACCACACCAGCTTTAAATCCTCGATCTCAGGAATCGTTGCCAACACAGAATGTCTGGCTCTTCTCTGATTGGCTGGTGCCTGAACTCACACTTCTGGGGTTTTTGTGAACCGTCTAGTGGATTCTGATTCCTGACCTAGTCTCTGGAGAGAAATGAAACTGAGCTGAGGCACTAGGTGGCGCCAGCCTGGCTACATGTTTCAGGCATCTGCGCTCAAATGCATAGGTGTCCACAATGTTTAATGCCATACTATGGAACATTCTAAGAACCCCACCCAGCCCCTCCCCACTGGAGAAGTTTCATAGTGCTTCTACTCTTTCTCAACCTAAACACTGAATAAACAATAGGGAACATTTTAAGTTGGTTTTCAGTTGCCTTTGAGTGCTGTTTTTAATTAGATAGAAGAAAAGAAAAAACATTTTGAAGATGCCAACACTGAAAAACTAAAATCCAGCCAAGTTAAGATGACAAGTAACAGACTTTTGTACTTAAAATATGAAAATACATCTTGCTACACTTAAGAAAAACAACATCTCTTTCCACATAAAATAAGAAACAAAATCTAATGTTGCTTGAATGAATAAAAACATCAGCAGATCATTTTACTTGTCAAGGTGAATCTAAAATGTTCTCAATTTAAGTCATTTTAAGTAGATTTTCCTGTGACAAAAAGTAACTCAAACTCTTGGACAAATAAAACTTGATTGTAAAGTTCTAACCCCCATTCTTTCAAAATGACATGTTGTGGTTCCACGTTCATTCAGCTGGAGCGTTTTTTACCCTCTTCATAAAGACTGGCATTCAGGCGCAGAAATGAAAGACCAGATAATTACTGGAGTTTAATGGCTGGCTTGTGTCACTCTAATAACATCTCATTCCAAATGTAGTTCTCTTCTAGTAGCTCTGAAGCCTGGGTTTATGTCAAGTCATGATGATACATGTCAAATCGTCCTTGGATTCAGTTTTATTCAGGGTGATTCTTTAGTATTTTCTAATTTATGTTATAATGTCTGTTTTCTCATCACAAACACACAGAATCAGTGTGTTTTGTTTGAGTTTTTCTCTCAAACTAAAACACTCTGTTCCACCTTGTGATGTCATGTGGTAAAACAGGAAGTGTTCCACTATGTTTTTAAACTCCATACACCTTCATTTGGATGATTTTTAGCCCTGAATTGCTCTAATCTCTACTGAGCTAGATGGGTAAAAGGTAGCTGTTTAAATGGAAAACTACCACTTCATGACATCACAAGGTGGAGCATTTTGAGTTTTGGAGATGAAGACAAATACATTATTATAGTTAAAGCCACAGTATCTAACTTTTTTTTTTTTTTTTTTTTTTTGCTAAAATGATTAAAATAAAACCATGCTTTTCATTCTAGATGTTTTTATTGTACTGAAAAACATGCATCTTTACTCTAAGCAGACATTTCCACAGACCTGACTCTTATTTGATATGGAAGCTGAGTTCTTCCTGCTTGTTTCCATGGAAATATTCCTTTGACTATAATAATCCACAGTCAGTGTTGGGAAGGTGACTTTTAAAATGTATTCCCCTACAGATTACAGATTACATACCCCAAAATGTAGTTTGTAACAGAATCCATTAAATTACTTAAAATGAGTAATGTAATCTGAATACTTTGGATTACTTGATTTGCTGTAGAGAAACAAAGACAAGGAAATCTTCACTTAAGATGTTTTATCTGCTAAAAGAAAATAAAAAGCCCAGACTTTACTGAACCAAATTAAAAATATTATTGAAGACGATTAGACACGGTCCACGCTGCATAATTTAGTCCTGTTAAATCCTGGTTTGGTCCCGGTTTTAGTCCCGGTTTTGGTCCCGGTTTTAGTCCCGGTTTTGGTCCCGGTTTTAGTCCTGGTTTAGACGTGGTTTAGTGTCCGGCAATGAGTGGAATTACCAAACAAAACAAAAAAACAGAACAGCCCAAAATGTGAAAACAGGAAAATCCCTCTGTGTAATCCGTTTATTTAAACAAAGTAACTGTAATCCAATTACCACTCATTGAAACAGTAACTGTAACTGAATACAGTTACTCATAATTTGTACTCTGAATACGTAACTCCAGTACATGTAATCTGTTACTCCCCAACACTGTCCACAGTATTACACTTTATCCACCATGACACTTTATACTCCAGTGTTTCAAAGTGTGTTTTCATTTTCTATTGTCTAGTGTCATGCCACCTCCAGAAAGTTACACACTATCACTTTAAATTATTGGTTTATATTTGCTTTTATAGAATTTATTTTTATCCCATGTTCCTGTATTCCACAAAATTTACTCTTGTGACTTTTAAGACATGTTATTATACTGTTACCTAATCAAAAATATACCTGGAGTTGTGTGTTTTTTCATTCAGACATGTTTAATTAATACTTTTTTTTTTATGTAGTCTGTGACATCACAAGGTGGAACAGAGCATTTTGAGCTTTGGAGATGTAGACTCCATGAAGATGAAGTTTTATTTCAGTAGAGATTGGCAATTCCAAAGCTGAAATCATCCAAATTTTAGTGAAGGTGTGTGGAGTTTACAAACACAGTAGCACACTTCCTGTATTATCACATGACATCACAATGTGGAACAGAGTGTTTTCTGTTTGTGAAAAGAACTCAGCCTAAATATACAGGATTTGTGTGTTTTAAACATGTGAATGAAACAAATCACAACTGCAGGTGTGTTTGTGATGAGGAAACATTACAACACAGATCAGAAAACGGTGTAATATGAGCCCTTTAATCGTACTTATATTAAACCTTTTTAGAAAACTCACTCACCCAAATCTTGCCTTTTGTTCTTTGCAGCCCCCAGTCCCACCACAGCCGTGCACTACCTGGCCACCAAATGTGTGGACAACGTCAAGCACCGTCAGGATTCCAAATGGTTCATGCCCTGGGGCCCCAACCAGTGCGACAAGATCCGCTCCTTCGACGAGGCCATGGCCAAACGCATCGAGGCCAACAACATCGTGTTCGCCGTCCACATCCCTCTGCCCTACAAGGAGATGAGCCCCTGGTTTCAGTTCATGCTCGTCATCCTGCAGTTTGACATCGCCTTCAAGATGTACAACCAGATCGGTGAGGAGGGGAGAGGGTCTGCAAGCTCTTGGGGTTGTCAGAAGCATCGAAAATCAGATATTAACCGATATAAAAGTAGTATTGAAGCTACAGTAGATACTAATTTGAGCAAGTATCAATACTACAAAAGTCCCATTCACAGGACAGAAATGAAGCTGAATGTCTTTAGAATGTTGAGCTGCATCAGAACAAGTATAAGAGCACATAGATTAGTATACACCCATGGACCACAAAAGAAAACTTACAAGAATCCATTTTGTATAATATAGGACAGAGGTCTTCAACAGGGGGGGTGCAAAATCTTTGGTTGATTAGACTTTTTAATACATTTGGGTCTGGTCAAGTGGTAACGGAGGGAAACAGGGGCAGATTTTTGACATTCAAATGTCTCTTATTCAGAAACTAGAGGGACTATTGAAATAAGTAAAGTATCAGAATGTAGGAAAGAGTTACACTCCAACAGGGTCAAGTTAAACCTGTGATATTCTTTCAAGTTGTTGACAAAAAATTTAAAAACTCATGTCGGTAACGGAGGAAATGAAATATGCAGCACTTTTTGGGCAATAAATCCAAACAGTGATAACTCTTGGTTCTCACTTCCATATCCTTAACAAACTGGTTTGAATATTTGCTTCATATAGTTTTCTACCATATGGTACAAGATTAGGTTGAAAAACCTCTGACTTTTTGACTCATGAGATTTTTTTTATTAAGAAAGGTCATGGTAACGGAGGGAAAAGTAAATTGTACAAACAAGTAGAAGGTGCAGGATTTTACATCATTTGTCGCTTTTTTCTTCTGAATACTTTAATATTACTTCAAAATGAAAGGAAACTATTTCTATAAAATATGTCAGTCCTTCCAAGCAAATTTTTATCATTTTAAATACTTTTTTTATTTATTTTTTTAAATCATGTCCCTTCATCAACAGTTCAAAGATGGAATAACACAAGATATGATGAAATACATCCATTTATTGACATGATTTGCAGGTCTTTGAAATTTGGGAAATAATTTTTGTTCCATGTTTCATACATGGTCTGTTTAAAACATATGGAACTTTAGAACCAAAAATGGTACAGAAAAAAGGTCAACAGTTTCATAAACTAGAGTACATATGTATCTGTTCAATACATTTTTATATCAGATGCATTAACTTGAATTTTGGGCCTTGATGTTTACTTCTGCTTGACCGGGCCCCTTTCTTTATTTTTGAAGGATGAGGATGAAGTGGTTTTCAGTGTGGTCTGTCTGTTCGCTCCTTCATAATGTCTGTCTCTCTCTTCATCCCCTCGTCTCTCGCTCCCTGTCAAACTGCAAACACATCGGCCCAGATTTTATTGTTCATGTCTACATGTGAAGAATTCCGTTACAGCTTCACTTTTACGCACAGCTGAACTTAAGCTCCGCATGTACTCTCGCTCTCCAGGAAGGGGTCAGGCAACTTCATTACCCGGGTGTATTAACTAGGCTCCAGGGTCCGCACTACACTGGCCTCCTCCTCTCTGTCCACGGAGCGACCGGGAGAAGAGGGAGGAATCGTGTCTTTCCTCTCGCTCCACAGATCAGAATGACCAGAAAAGTTCAGTGTCTCAAATCAAACTCTTGTCTGTGTGCGCTGTGGCTCCTCTCTTGTTTAATCCGATCATTAAAAATCTCACACTAAGGCTACGTTCAGACTGCAGGGCTTAATGCTCAATTCAGATTTTTTATTTTTGTGAAATCTGATGTTTTTGCGAGGTCGTTCACATTTCCAATTAAATGTGACTTGTATGTGACTCCAGTGTGAACATTAAATGGCCCAAAAGTGTCCCACATGTGACACTGGAGACACGACGACGTCAACCACAGCGAGCGTCTCTGTGTTTACAGAAGTTGTCCAAACATGGACGCAGCATTGAGCACCTGGAGATTTTAAAGTTCCTCTTGTACCGAAGCCAGAACATGAACAACTTACTTGTTTTAAGGAGGAGATTGAGAAGGAGAAGGACGAGGTTTTTGGTCATGGAGTTTTGTGGGACAGCGGCAACGACGTCCGTTGAAAGGAACATGTGGATGTGGAGACGGAGCCGTGAGTGGTGATGTGCTTCACTTCAGTGACACGGAGTTCATTAACCATTTTTGTATGACGAGAAGAACATTTGTGTACATTTGTGTCTTGTTGATAACGTGTAGGTGGATGAATGCACTTTGGCCGTTCAGACTGAAGTCACATGTCAAAAGATCAGATATGTATCGGTTTTAGGAGCACATATCCAAGTGTCTTGGGTCACATTTGAAAAAAATCAGATCTGTATTGTTCAGACTGTCATTAAAAGATCAGATACAGGACACATAGGGGCCAAAAAATCTGATTTGGGTCACTTCAGGCTGCAGGGTGAACACAACCTTAGAGCCCATTTTTTTGGGATGTTGTTGCTGCATTGATTCTCATTGTCACCGTGAGCGAGCACAAATAGCAACTTAAACTTCAAACCTGAATTAGTTTTGGTCAGACTCAGACTTATTTCTGTCATGGAACGAGTTGAGACTTCAACTGGAGATGGAGTGAGTTTCAGCTCAGGATTTCAGGATGAGCCTGGACTTGTTAAGCAACTTTGATGGAACACCCTCCTAGTATTTAATGTACAATAACAGAGTAGCTGTTTATACACGACACTAGACCTAATTTAATATAAAACACAATTGTCTGCCATATATTTAGTAGTATAGTCCCTGCTCCAGCTCTCCATCAGTTTGGGGTCCCTGACATGAAAAACGTTGACCCCTGATCTAGGACATTTATTTAGAACATGTTATATAATTTTTGCCATAAAAGTGTTTTAACTTCGTTCCTATTTCAAACACATGTCTGTATCCATATTTCTTGCATTGCTATTGAGTATAATACATATTTTCAAATGTAAGAAATTCTAAATCTTATCTAATCCACAACTTCTACAATTCTTCTTCACTTACAAACACCTTCTAGATTCTAACTCATGTCAACACTGGACAGCTATTTCTCACAAAGGACACTCAAATATTTGCACTGGATCTGTGAGAAGACTCCAGCCTTTAAAACAGCCCCGCTCCACGTCACTTCACATTTAACTCACACGTACTTTAGTCCCAAGCTCCGATCACTTTCCCCGTTACCCCCGATGCAAAACTCCACACGTTGTTATTTAGGATTGCCTGAGGTGGCTCGAGGAATGCGTGTGGAGATTGGGTTTCTTGTTTAAGCTGACAAACAATGATGGATGCGGTGGGGCTGCTGGTGGTTTGGACCCTAGGGGGGCTGTGAGAGATCCAAGCAGAGGGAGAGAGGATGCGCACTGGGCTGAAAGCCTGTTAGCTCTGGGCCATGAAGCGGTTATTTAATCCAAGAGAGTGGAGAATTACCCGGTTTCAGTATGACGTCAGGAGAAGTGGAGCCAGAGGAATTTCTTTAAAGATGCACACATGGAGATTTTGGAGACTGGTGAATTTTTTTGTTTCCTATATTTTTCTATATCTATATGTGTGAACAGATATAGAACTACAACAAATGTATACACAACGTTTCATGTGTATACAGAAAAAAACATAACAAATCTTAAACAAATCACACAAATCTTGAGTAAATATGAAAAAATTATATACTAATAATATACTACTGCTAGCAATAACAATAATGATAAAAAAAAGAAAGAAAAAAAACTACAACACTAATATACTACTGCTATTACTAACAATAATGATTAAAAAAATAAATAAATGGGAAAAAAAATGGGGTGGGTGCATTTGGCTTGAACAGTTTCAAAAAAAGTCAATGACTGGATTAATTTTTAATTAGAATTAGTCAAAAGTATCAAATCAGATACAAATTGATATTAAAACTAGTATTGAAACTAGATACTTATTTGAACTTGAAGTACTGATAATAAAAAAGTCAAAGATCTTGAGCTGTATGAGAACAAGTATAAAACCAACACTTCTGAATAAAAATAACAAAGACTTCTGAATGTTGGACATAAGATCACATGGTAATATAAAATTAATATACTGTAAAATCCAGACTATCGAGCGCACCAGAATATACACCGCATCTACTAACTAAATTTTAACTAAATTTAAAAACTGTACATATATACCTGAATATAAACCACAGGTGTCCACATCTTCAAGAACGTTATTAAGTTGGGGCCGTCTGCTTTTATCGCCTCTGAAAGATTTTGTCATCTTTTTGCGTCGAGTCAGGTCGTCACGCTGCTGTCGCCAAAATCTCACCATCGACTCACTGATGTCGAGTTCACATGCGGCAGCTCTGTTTTCTTCTTCCACAGTCACATCAATCGCCTTTAACTTAAAATCTACATCATCTGCATTTCTTCGTGTGTTTTCCATGAGGAAGGTGTGTGTTTGAAGCACAAAATAACTGTTCAAAACACAATCAAATGAGCATTTTCCTCGGCACATCACCTCCGTCTCTCCCTGCGCTCTACTGCACATGTCTCCTGCAGAAAGAGTCTCTGTTCTGTCTGTATCATGTCAGTGTCTTGGAGGATTTCAGCAGATTTCAGACTCTCTCGGGGGCGGGGTTAGTTCTATCCATCAGGTGTGAGTGGATGTTCGGCTACTGAAGTTTGAGACATTTCAAACATTTCATTTACACACATGGGTAAGACGTGTCCCCCTCACTAATGTTCATTTATCATCACAACTTATTTTCTCACACTGCGATAAACTATTTGAGTGCACTGACAATATCACAAGCTCGTGCAGCAACTTCATGTGAACTCTAGATCCATGTGTAACTGCACAGACAGCAGGCAGCTTTCTGCACTCAGTCTGTGCTCGTATCCGCCGTGTTGCCAAACCATAGACCGTATATATATGAATGGAAAATGTGCCAAACTAAAGACGTCCATATATTCCCCGCATTGTTTTATTAGCTGCAGGGTTCAAAGCGTGAGAAAAAAGTAGCGGCTTATAGTCCGGAATTTACGGTTCCAGTGCAGTGTTTAGGTATTAGAGCGCCCTCTTTTGACCGCAATGGGAATGAATAATGAATGAAAATAACTGAAGCCATTTAGAAACCATATCTTCATTGTGAGTATCAATACCCAATATTAATCATTAATATTGACAATGGATACTGTACAAAATCAACTAAAAAATCTGACACCTCAAAAAAAAAAAGAATTTGAAATGAATTTGATGTACACAGATAGTATTTGTCCCCATGATACTATAAAAGAAAGTGCTTTTTTTTGTTGAAAGTTACATAATAAATGCAAATACAGAGAGCAAAATGTCCTCCAGGTCACCTCTGCTGACTCATCTGAATGTGGAGCAGCGTCTCTACTCCGAGCACTACTCCTCATACCAAATCTGTTTCTGTGCCAACCTCCTGTTCCGCATTATCTAATTAGTTGTATGGCTCATAGGCATTGATCTAACTCTGCACTCACACAAACACAGCGTGAGCGAGGATCAAACAGACTGCAGACGGTGACTCAGAGGTGACGTGCCCACAGGACGGTCCAGATGTAACGCTCTTTCAGATGTCTACGGACCGAACTAGTGACAACATGGGTCTAATGACTGTGTAGCAGCATACCTTAACATAAAAGAACAGAAAAAAATGGAAACATAGAATGGGTCAATGGACATTCTGGTCAAAACTATAAAATATGTCCTTAATGCTGATCAATCATATTTTATAACCAGATAAAAATGTATTGTAAATGTATGAACACCCTCAGCATGATGTCAGTTCAAAGTTCTCCACCAAAGTTCTGAAAGAAATATACATTTTTTTTTTTTTTTAAATGAAACAGGATAATGTCCCAAAACACACAGCTAAAGCACACAAGAATGGCTAAGAACAAAACACTGGACTGTTCTGGAGTGTTCTTCTGTGAGCCCAGAGCTCAATCCTACTGAACAACTGTAAAAGGAGCTGAAACATGCGTCTGGAGAAGGAATCCTTCAAACCTGAGACAACTAGAACAGTTTGCTCACGAGAAATGGGTCAAAATACCAGTTGATCAGTGCAGAAGTCTCATTGACAGTGACTGAAATCATTTGTTTGTCTCAAAACGGTTGTGCAACAAAATATAAAGTTAAGTGTACCATCATTTTTGTCCAGGCCAGTTTCATTATTTTGTTTTTTCTAATAATTCTCTTGAAACACAGGTGAAAAGTAATGTTTGATTTTTGTTGGACAATTTTCAGTAAATTTTTATTTATTATTGCTTTTATCAGTTTGAAGTTTTTTCAGTGATGATTGTTGATTTTTCTTTCTTTGTCAGAGGGGTATAGAGAATAGAATTATTGCATTTTTGAGCAATAGAAACACCCATAATGAATAAATACTAATGGATATATTTGTCATATAATGGAACATTCCAGCCAAAGCAATAACATCTCCATGGAAACGCGCAGGAAAATTTGTGCTGTGCTCCTTTTAATATCTTCAACTTAAGCAGTACTTGTACACACGTCTAGTTAATGCTGTTTACACACACTTTGTTTTGTCGACAGAGGAGCGGCTGAACAGAGCTGATCACTGACAGGCTGCGTTCACACTGCAGCCTGAAGTGACCCAAATCAGATTTTTTTGGCCCCTATGTTCCTGTATCTGATCTTTTAATGACAGTCTGAACGACACAGATCCGATTTTTTTCAAATGTGACCAGGACACTTGGATATGTGCTCCTGAAACTGATACATATCTGATCTTTTGACATGTGACTTCAGTCTGAACGGTCAAAACGCATTCATCCACCTACACGTTATCAACAAGACACAAACGTCACTATTCTGCTCTGAAGTAGGCGAAAATTGTTAATGAACTCCATGTCACTGAAGTGAAGCACATCACCACTCACCACTCTTGGCTCCGTCTCTACATCCACACGTTCCTTTCGACGGACATCGCTGCCGCTGTCCCACAAAACACACGACCAAAAACCTCGTCCTTCTCCTTCTCAATCTCCTCCTTAAAACAAGAAAGTTGTTCATGTTCTGGCTCCGGTACGAGAGGAACTTTAAAATCTCCAGGTGCTCAGTGCTGCGTCCATGTTTGGACAACTTCCTGTAAACACAGAGACGCTCGCTGTGGTTGACGTCGTCATGTCTCCAGTGTCACATGTGGGACACTTTCGGGCCATTTAATGTTCATACTGGAGTCACATACAAGTTGCATTTAATTAGAAATGTGAACGACCTCGAAAAAACATCGGATTTCACAAAAAAATCTGAAGTGAGCGTTAAGCCCTGCAGTCTGAACGGAGCCCTAGAAACAACTGAATCATGATCTTGATCAAATTTGCTCAGTATCACAGCTCTACATGTATCCATCTTCCTGTTTCCTTTTGAGTTGATCCAGCTGCTCTGAGTCCAGGCCCCCTCCTCCTCCACCTGGCGCGCTCCACCCTCTCCACCCTCTCCACCCGCACTCGGCAGAGCGTTGGCGGGGGTCCAGCCATAACACAGCTGTGGAGAGGGCTCAGTCTCCCCGGTGACGGTGGCCACGCTACACAGGAATGCTGGGATGGAGAGAGCTTTAGAGGGCTTATTTGGAGGAGAGCTGCTGATATTATAGACTAGTAACTCACAGCAGTTCACACAATATTCATACGGCAAGACTCTAAATCTATGGACGTTATGCTAAGAATTCTCATCTGATCAAAATGTGAACTCAGATTTTTCTTGACGTAATCTTACATTAAAACTAAAAGCAAGATGTGACCTTTTTTCATATCACTCACCCCCTTTTGGACCACTGCAAACACTTAAAAGATTTGTTTTTTAGCTTTTTAATACATACATTTTCTGATCCAAGTTAAAATGTTGTTTCCTCATCACAAACAAACCTCGAGCTGTGTTTTTATTTTATTCACACACGTTTAACACAAAAACCCTCCATATTTAGGCTGAATTCTTCATTGTCCTTTTTTCAAACTCCATATACTTTCATTCAGCCCTGTATTTTCTGGAAGCTGTTGAATTAAACTACCACTACATGACATCACAAGGTGGAGCAGAGGATTTTAAGCTTTGGAGATGTAGTCAGAATTGACAAAAAGACTGAAATCTGAACTGAAAAACTAAGTACAAGAATTGCATTTCAGAAGATGTTTGTACAGATCTAAGGGTTTGCAGATTTTAGACAGAATAAAAGAATACATTTTTTTTATTTGTGGAGAAAATTACGAATCAGTGCAATTGGCAAACTGTAGATGCTGCAAAAGTACCACGATGTGATTTCGGATGCAATAATTCTCGCTTATCTCCATATTCTGCATAGTTTTCCTACAGTGCGTCTCTCCATGTTTAGTGCGTCTGTCTGCGTCAGTCCAGTTTCTCTGTGGAGACGAGGAGACGGAGGCAGACTTGGAGGGCTGTCGCTGCAGAGGCCACCGGGTTCCTTCCTCTTGAGTGTGTTTCATAACGTCACCGCTCTGAGCTGTGTGAGTGCACTTGGCTTTGTGATGGAGCCAACGATGCAGGTGGAATACAGGCTGGATGTTTAGGAGAGATTTTCAAGCAGGCAGAGAGAGAGAGAGGTTTTAAAAAGGGTTGTTAAAAGTATCAAAATACAGATGCTAAGTTATATTCAAACTAGTATCGAAACTAGATACTCATTTGAGAAGGTATCGATACTAAAAAAGTCACATTCACAGCCCAGAAATGAACCTTTCCTGAATAGATATAGAATGATCTTGAAATTGAGTTTGACATTTTTGCATCGTGACAACACTACTTTTATAGAGCTTTACAGTATCTCCGGTCTGTGGGTCAGTTTCGACATTGCAGTGAGATGTCGGGCACCTGTCGACAGGAGCTCATTCCACTGTGACAGGAGCACAGCTGGGACCAGACTGGACTTTAGCTCAGTACAACCAGCACTCTTCTCTCAGACCTGTGGAGGATTCAAGTTCAGGGGTGTAATGTTCCTTTTTATAGCTGTCATTTTGAGGACTTTTTTAAATCAGTGTGTTATAAAGGTGAGGTTAAAGCCATAATATGTAACTTTTTTTTTTAGCAAAATCTAGACTAAAATGCGCAGGTTTCTTTCATTGTGGTTGTGCTCTGTAACATTGGTGTCCTTACTCTGAGCAGGCTTGCATCTCCACAAACCTGACTCATATTTCACCTGAAGCAGGGACCCCTCCTGCTGGTTTCCAATAGAAATGTTGTTCCTTTGTCTATAATCTTTTAGCCTGATTCATCACCTCGCAGCATTAGGATTCGTTCGCTCGACGGTAGGCGGGTACTTTTTTTCATTTGACCAATCGTTGCTATTTGGTCGTATGTAAAGCGACGCTAATGGTGCCTAACTGGTATATTAAGCTTTTCCCAAATCCTGTAGGAAGAAGGACAGTAACTTAACGTAAAATAACGTCTTTCTGCTTGATAAAATTCACCAAACATTGTCTTTGTTCCGACTTTAAATCCTCAATCTCAGGAATCATTACCAACACAGAATATATGACTCTATGCTGATTGGTTAGTGTTCTGACTCACACTTCCGGGGTTTTTGCGAACAGTCTAGTGTATTCCGATTCCTGACCTAGTCACTGGAGAGAAATGAAATTGAGTGGAGGCACTAGGTGGCGCTAGCCTGGCTAATAATCTTCTACAGTATGGTATAAAACATCTGTATCTCTATGTTCTGTAGTATGGTTTTAATTCTCCATTTCCATGGAATCGTCCAGGTGACTTGGCACTTCCAGAAAGTTGCATACTTAACAATCATGTTCGTTATGTGAAACTTAAAGGTAAAATGATCCATGAAAGTGCAGAAATACTGTATACATGTATTTGCAGCATTTTCTACTATAAGCGGTGTACTCATTCTTAAAACTTTGCATATCCTCAAAACAATATTCACTGTATTATCCATATTTTGATAACACCTCTATCATGGATATCACACTGTCCTTATAAAACCAAACTTCATAGTAATCTTTTCCTTCAGTCCTGACTTTATCTTGTTGTTTTTCAGAGGATGGAGCTCTCGTGACCATAGACGTGGGGCTGGCCTACAGAGACGACACTGTGAGCGAGTGGACAGAGATGGCCCACTCCTTTGAACAGAGGAAACTCAGCTGTAACTTCACCACAGACAAGGTGAGAGCTGCGGCACACTCACCCTCGAACCAAACGCTAAAGGCTCAGGCTTTCCAAGAACCCAGGGAGGTGTGGTCCCAGCAGCACTTCTCTTCACACTGATTATTTGCAGTGTCTGTGGGAACAACATCCTTTTCCAAAGTGTCTTCTGCTTCATTGTAAGTCCAGTTTTAAAATAGCTGTAGTTCTCGAAGCGTCTTCGGTGAAGTGTCGCTCGCAAACAAGAATATTCTTGGGGACCTTTTTGTCTGTGTTCCCAGAAATAAACTCCAGCCACTTAGCACGCCTTGCTTCTTCTGTCGACATGACAAATAATTTTGACTTGCCATCACAGCCAAATACACACTTTCTCCATGAGGACATAGTTACTAAAAGCGTGTTTGAAGTGAAAAATAAGCGGAAGATAAATAACGCAGATCAGCAGACCTGTGCAGTGCAGACGCAGGACGGCGTGTGAGGGGGTGGGGGCGGAGGCAGTGGAGCGAGGGAGGGGGGCGGGTGCGAAGCACTTTCTGCTATGTCAAACGCGTCATCGTTGTAGCTACTGCATCATCGTTGTAGCGGCTTTAGTTGGTTGTCACGTGGGAGGGTGGCAGAAATACGCTGCAATTTGTTAAAAAAAACGCAGAATCAATCTAAAAACCACTTTGACGATAAATACAAGGCCCACACATCACTCTTAGAAGGTAGAAGGATCTGAAAAGTTGATGGGCCCTTTAAGTGTCTGCAAATGTCTAACTAATAGCAGAATAAACAGAATATGGGGCTGACGGGCTGAATAAATACTAACTAATGACAAATTAACCATCTACAACTATGCAAATTTGCAGGTAGTTAGATGTTAATAAGTGTATCCTAAAATAAGGTGTTACCGTTTCTTGTGTTAAATTTGCAACAGCCTGTCAGAGCAGCCAGACAGTTCCAGACTCTGTTGCCAAGTGATGACTCTTAAACTTTAGAAAGACACACAGACACTGACTTTGTGCAAATATTTTCAATTATCCACCCCATGTACAAGGACCTCTACAAGCAGGATCTGATGCCCTTGTGTTTCTTCTTGTTTCATATTCTCTGTGTATTTGTTTTCATTATAGATTATATTTTTCATTATCTAGTGTGAAGCTGGTCTAAACTTCCTTCTAAACTTTTTTTTTTTTTTTCCCAGACGTTTGAGAATGAAGGCCGTTACTACGAGTGTGACCTGCTGCCCTTCATGGAGGTGGGCAGTGTGGCTCATAAGTATTACCTGGTGAACATCCGTCTCCCTGTGAATGAACGCAAGAAGGTCAACGTGGGCATCGGGGAGATCAAGGACATCCGCCTGGTGGTAAGGGCACAGCGCCATGAGGACCGCTCTCCTGCAGGGTGGTTGTCCTGTTTAATAGCTAATTAATTAATTAATCATTACCCAATTGAAATTAGGCCTGTAACGATAACCGGTTTTGCTGGACGATTAATTGACCAAAAATGTATTCAGATAATAATGCATCAGTTTTATATATCACTTTTTTAGACACTCAAAGACGCTTTACAGAGCATTATTCATTCACTCCAGACCCGGTGGTGATAAGATACTACTCCGACCACCACCATCATTCACACACACACACCACTTTCATACTAGGCAATGAGGGTGACGTGTCTTGCCCAAGGACACAACGACGGTTATTCCCATTGACGCCCCCCTGTGGTACCTGATTTTCCCAGTGTCTCCCATCCAAGTACTGACCAGGCCCGGCCCTGCTGAGCTTCTGAGATCTGACAGGATCAGGCTTTGACAAGCCGTTATGGCCATGATAATATTGACATTTTGAGACCATTTTCAGCTAATATAATGACAATGGAATAAAAATGCAAATACATCCTCTCAATGATCAATAAACCTTACTTTCTAAAGACCATTTAACACAGGAACTGTAAAAGAACCAAAAACAATAGGCCTAAATAAAACAGACTTGTTCACATAAGAATAGCATAAAGTATTCTGACTTACAGCAAGGACTTGTTCACAAAAATGCACTTGAACAAACCATTATTGAACCAAATACAACCAAAACAATAAATAAAATGATGAATAAAATTCTCTGTAACAAAATTGCCCTTAAAAGTTATTTTAGTCTTTGATTGCCATTGGAATATTGTGTGTGTCTCTTCTCAATGGCTGCTGCTGTTGTTGCCTCGGCATTTTGGTCTTGAAGTGTTCGTATTAACCCACAACACAGGATCCTGTTTCACTTTGAGGGAGTCTCTGTTCTGTCTGGTATTGTGCCAGTGTCTTGTGGGATTTCAGTGGATTTTGGTCTTTGTCGAGGGCGGGGCTAGTTGTGTCGCTCGGATATGAGTGTATGTCGGCTGCTGGGGTTTGAACCATTTCTTGTTGTTTGGCGCTCACTGCATGTGACACACGTGGCTGTTGAGACATATCCCACTCACTAGTGTTGATTCGGCATCGTGACTTGTTTTGTCCCACTTCGATGAACTGTTTTGGTTCTGACGGTGGTGCTAGTGTTGCAGCTTCATATTCACCGCACAGTCAGCGGCGCTTTCTGCACTGAGGCTGCGCACACATCCACTGTGCTGATGAACAAATAATCCATCTCCAATCTATACTGGCTCATTCATTCAAGCGTCATCACGCTAATTAAAGGAGGAGTCAGAGAGCGATAGAGCCTTCTGACATTTAGTCTCTTTGGTAGAGCGAGAGAGACAAAAAAACTAACATGCAAAAAGAACTTAGCGCCTCCGGAAAAGTTATTGTATGATTAATTGATGTATTGATTATCGTTACAGGCCTAATCGAAATAACAATTGCAATGGATGCAATTGGCAAACTGCAAAGGCTGCCACTTTCTCCACAAAAAAAAATATCCTGTCTTACTCTGCATGCAAACTGATAATCCTGTAGTTTATATCCGTACAAACATGCTGTGAAATCTGATTGTTTTTGTTCATGTAATGGGCAACAGTGGCTTAGGTGGCAGAGCATTTATCCCCAGATACGAAAGTTGGTGGTTCAAATCCCCCTCTCGACATAAACATCATCACATTGGCTTGTCGTAAAGTGCTTAGAGTGCCGTGAGGGTGGAAAAGCACTTTGTAAAAATGTGACCGTTCAGCCTTTTTGTCAGTTCTTCTGGACACTTTAAAATGTGAACTTTGAACAGAATTTAATTATTAAAACAAATTGCAATGGTTGTCAGAAAAAATGTGATGATCTTTTTCACGACGTTCAGCCCTAGTCTTAAATGTGGTTTCCATGGTTACTGTGCAGGGCATCCATCAGAACGGAGGCTTCACCAAAGTGTGGTTTGCCATGAAGACCTTCCTCACGCCCAGCATCGTCATCATCATGGTGTGGTACTGGAGGAGGATCAGCCTGATGAGCCGGCCCCCTGTGCTCCTCGAGAAGTAAGACTGATACTGCTACTACTACTACTACTACTACTACTACTACGGCTACTACTACTACTACTACGGCTACTACTACTACTACTACGGCTACTACTACTACTACTACGGCTACTACTACTACTACTACTACTACTAATGCAACGACTACTACTGATAAGACAACTACAACTACTACTAATATGACAACTAGGACAACTACTACTACGACTACTATGACTACTACTACAACGACTATGACTGTGACTACAACTACTACAACTATGACAACTATGACTACAACTACTACGACTAAGACTACTGCTATTACGTTTTCTGCTACTAGAAACTAATACATACTATGTACTATTACTACTACATACTACATACAGCTGTTAGAGCAACTACGACAACTGATTACTGACCTGCACCACATGAAAAACTTGGTTTAAACTAATTTGTTCATATGGATTCTGAACTACTAGTCCAATTTAGTCAGATTTAAAGGTCCACTATGTAACTTTCTGGTAGTGGGTCTGCCACCTTAGCCTGATTCATCAGCCGGTTTCACTTCGTAGAAACCGTCTGACCTCGCAGTGTTAGGATATGTTCGCTCGACAGTAGGTGGGTACTTTTGTGATTTAACCAGTCACTGCTGTTTGGTCGTGATGTATGTAATGCACTGTTAACAGGACTAACTGGTATATTAAACTTTTCCCAAATCCTGTAGGAAGAAGAACAATAACGTCTTTCCCCTTGATAAAATTCACCAAACATTCTCTTTGTTCCGGCTTTAAATCCTCGATCTCGGGAATTGTTGCAACACAGAGTATATGACTCTTCACTGATTGGTTGGTGCCTGAACTCACACTTCCAGGGTTTTTTACGACCCGTCTAGTGTATTCTGATTCCTGACCTAGTTGCTGGAGAGAAATGAAATTGAGCGGAGGCACTAGGTGGCGCCAGCCTGGATACTGCCACCTGCTTGTCTTAGTGGAAATGTTATTGCTTTGTCTGGAATGTCCCACAGAATGACATTACACTTATCTGTTTCCATGGAGACATTGAATGCTTTTATTTTTGAGCAGTAAAACACATGCAACAATAGAAGAGTTTAATGGCATACTGTGCAACCTTTTAGGCAAGGCAAGACCCCCTACCAGAAAATGTACACAGTGCACCTAATCTGGCTTCATGGTCAGGAGTACCTAGCTGGAGGATGAGTCTGCTGTGTATGCTTTGAGTTTGGAGGTGACTGAAGCCCCAGGAGGAAAAACACCCACATCTTCTCAGAACTGTCAAAATGTTGTTCAATTTAATGTTAAAGTGGACTTCTAATAGATACTGTGACTTGAAGTTTGGGGCCACTGGTCTGAACTCTGCTCCGTGTGCCTCATATAAAGTATAGATGACATAAAGTAGGTCAGGTGTGCACCGCGGGTCAGTGAGAACAGTGATGCTTATCTGCTCTTCAGGCTTATCTCAGACATCACTCTTTACTGTCGCACATCAGATCCTCTGCATTGAGCAACACCCAACAACTCCAGAGTTCACAACAGCACAAAGGAAAGGTGGATCTTCAGTCCTTGATTTTTAGTTGTATGAAGTCCAGGGTTCAAATAAATATAAAAGAGACATGCTCATTTTCAGTGTTGGGAAGGTGACTTTTCAAATGTAATCCCCTACAGATTACAGATTACATCCCCCAAAATGTAGTTTGTAACATAATCCATTAAGGTACTTAAGGTAAACCTAACGTAATCTGAATACTTTGGATTACTTGATTTGCTGTAGAGAAGCAAAGATGAGGAAATCATAACATAAGAAGTTTTGTCTGCTAAAAGAAAATAAAAAGCCCAAACTTTACTGAACCATATAAAAAATATTATTGATAGAAGATGAGACACGGTTCGCACGGCATGGTTTAGTCCTGTTAAATCCTGGTTTAGACCTGGTTTAGTCCTGGTTTTAGACCTGGTTTAGACCTGGTTTTAGAACTGGTTTTAGACCTGGTTTAGTGTCCCTCAATGAGTGGAATTACGAAAAAAAAAGGAAAAAAAAAGGGGGGATATAGCCCAAAATGTAAAAACAGGAAAATACCTCTGTGTAATCCACTTATTTCAACAAAGTAACTGTAATCCAATTACCACTCACTGAAACAGTAACTGTAACTGAATACAGTTACTCAGAATTTGTACTCTGATTACGTAACTCCAGTACATGTAATCTGTTACTCCCCAACACTGATCATTTTTACAATCAGTTAAATGATAGTTTTAGTCGATTCATTTGAATCAAACTACACCTACAAACATGGCACATATTCTTGGGTGGAGCCTCTTTTATAAAGGTTCTGTATTGCACAAAATAGGTTCTTGTGATCTTTAATGTTATAATGTGTTCTATAATGTGTTATCTCTTCAAAGTTGATGTTCATTCACATATGTTTGAGTAATTTTTTATTTTTTCGGCTGTCTGCATCTTCACTGCTCAGAATGCTCTGTTCCACCTTGTGATGTCATGTAGTGGTAGTGTTAAAAGATTAAAATGAGTTCAGTAGAGATTGGCAAATCCAGGCCTGTAATCATCCAAATGATAGTGAAGGTGTGTGAAGTTTAAAAACACAGCCTGTACAACATGACATCACAAGGTGGAACAAAGTCTTTTCCGTTTGGGAGAAGAACTGAGTTGGCATATGTTTTTATCAGCTACTAGATTAGTAGAAGTCCAGCCCCGTATGCCTGGAGAAAAAAAAACCCACACACACAAACATGTCCTACACATGTCTTCCTCCTCCTCCTCTTCCTCTTCCTCTTCCTCCTGCTTCTGCTTCAGCTCAGCTCTGAGCTCCTGTGCCCCCATGTGGTCGAGAGGACGTGCCGCTGTCTCATGTCTGTGTGGAGCTCATCATTATTTCATGCAGTAAAAGCTCCACCATGTTCTGTCAGGTCTGAACAGTCCCAGATCACAGCTTCACTCAGACCAGTCGCACTAGTCTCCACTCCAATCATCTCATTTAGCATTTAGGACTTTGTATGTGACTTAACAGGAAATGCCGGCCTATAATCAGCAGGGTGATAGTCATTTAGTCATTTAGTTGATTATTCAGTCGATTATTCAGTCAGTTGAATGACCAAAACTTGTATTAGTCGACTATAGTTTTGTTTAGATCAGGGGTCTCCAACCGTTTTCCTCCGGTGAATTACCTTTACAAAAAAAAAAATGCTAGAGAGCTACTCATTTTAACTGCCACAAGATATTTAGATGATCATAAGAACGAGAGTGAGCCTCTGGGTACACTTACATGTCAATAAAACACAAACCATTGTCCATTTATTAATGCACAAAGTTGGGCTTCAAAATGACACATTTACAATAATAGCAGGCATGTAATTAACCAATAATGTCCCTTGGTGAGTTACTTGGAAGGGTGTGGAGAGCTACTGGTAACTCTGAGCTACAGGTTGGAGACTCCTGGTTTAGATTATAACAGTTTCTATGGGACAACAGCAGAAAGTAGAAGTTAGTGAGGGAGTTAGCTGAAGATTTAGTATTTTTATATGGGAAAAGGCGCAGAGGAACTTGCACATCAATGTAACTGATGAATTAGAACAGGGGTGTCCAAACTTTTTTCATCAAGGGCCACATATGTAAACCCAGATGAAGCAGAGGCCTGATCGAGGACAGTAGACTGGAGCTCATTACAGTGAATAATTGAAATATGTGCATGTTTATGTCTTTATTCATGTCAGATCTTTAAAACCACACACTAAATATTCAATATTAGCTTTATCAAGGTAGATTTTCAAAATGCTTGCAGTAAAAAGTACATTTTTAAATGATTCAAGCTAATTTGGGCCAAGAAAAATTTGCCTGAGGGCCGCATTTGGCTCACGTGCCATAGTTTGGACATGCCTGAATTAGAGTAACGCAACAAACTTCAAACAAGAAATGGATCCCTCACAGGTCAATCTTTGCATTAATTTAATAAGTTAATTAAGTGCAGTGTTTTGGACACGTGACCTTCTTTAGACTTAAAAAATCAAATCAAATATTGACCCAGTCTGATGTAATTATTTGAACTAGGTTACATGTCCTCAACAGTGAGAACTCCACACACATCTCCAAACTTTTAGAACATTGGGCTTTTCTTTGTTCCGAAGCTTTCTGTTGTATCAGGGTGACCAGATTTTCAAAATAAAAGCTGGTATTGGCGTTTGGTAATAATAAAATTGTGAAATGGATGCGTAATTAAATAAAATTGTTCTGCACCCAGCCCATTCATGACTAACACATGAGTCAGTATAGTCACATTTTCTTTGTGTTTTGGTCGTTTTTAAGCAGCTTTTCTGTATTTTACCTCAAACAAATTACAATTTATTCCTCTCTTTACTGTTTGCAGAAATCAAACTGGTCAAAAATAGAGACACCTGGGACATTTGTTGTATAAAACTGGGACAAATCGGTGGTTTTGGATAAATCTGCAGGGACAGGGGACACAAGGCTCAAAACTTGGACTGTCCCAGGTAAATAAGGACGTCTGGTCACCGTATGTTAATATTTAATTTGATTTGTTAATCATTGTGTCAACAGTCTTAATATTTCTTCATTCTGGAACCCATGGATAATCTTCAGATAAATATTCACTATCCATTTACCATTTATCACTGCTCCAATATTAAAAACTAACTGGCTATTCTCTCCCGTGTCAAGTTTCCCAACCTAAACAAAAGAAACCTGCATCATCTCCCCCACACGTTCCACAAAAAACATTTACAAATCCCTTTGTCTTGTTCAAACACTTCCCAGCGGCGTTTCTTCTCCTGCGCGCTGGTGGTCGGGACACATTCCACACATACCGGCCCCAACGCAGCACTATTCCACCCGCGAACACCCCACCGCTCCCAGGCCTCTGCTCATGACGTTATTTGAGCTAGAGTAAAACATATTAGCTGCTAGAACGTCGGCGTGTACAAACGTCTTGATCTATAGACCTTCTGACGCTGCAGAGAGTAAAATGTAGTAAAGAGTTTATCTTGATTATCTTGATTTGAGTACATTTCTATATCTGAGTTGTTATAATTTGTCAGACCTTGATATATATTTTTTTATATTTTGGCATAATCCGTTTGCCTCCACTCCAGCTCTTGCTCTTCTTTAAAAGTCCTGGATTACGCAAAATTGATTCTCGTGAGCTTTGAGTCATGTTAGAATGTCGTCATCTCCTCAAAAACAGACCTGGATTGTGTTCTGTTTCACACATGTCTGAGTAACCCTGGTTTATTTTTCTGTCTCCATCTCTAAAGCTCAAAATGTTCCACCTTGTGATGTCATGAAGTAGTTTTCAAGTCAACAGCAATGTTTCACCTTTAGTTCAGTAGATATTTAGCCTGATTCATCAACCGTCTGACCTCGCAGCATTAGATTTCGTTCACTCGACAGTAGGCAGGTACTTTTTATCATTTAACCAATCGCTGCTATTTGGTCGTGACGTATGTAGTGCGCCGCTAACAGGTATGTTAAGCTTTTCCCAAATCCACAATAACGTCTTTCCCCTTGATAATATTCACCAAACATTCTCTTTATTCTGGCTTTAAATGCTCCATCTTGGGAATCGTTGCCAACACAGAATGTCTGGCTCTTCACTGCTTGGCTGGTGCCCAAACTCGCACTTTCGTTCGTTCTTGCAAACCGTCTAGTGTATTCTGATTCCTGACCTAGTCACTGGAGAAATAAAATTGAGTGGAGCACTAGGTGCAGTGTTGGGAAGGTGACTTTTAAAATGTAATCCCCTACAGATTACAGATTACATACCCCAAAATGTAGTTTGTAACGGAATCCATTAAATTACTTAAAGTGAGTAATGTAATCTAAATATTTTGGATTACTTGATTTGCTGTAGAGAAACAAAGACGAGGAAATCTTCACTTAAGAAGTTTTGTCTGATAAAAGAAAATAAAAAGCCCAGACTTTACTGAACCAAATTAAAAATATTATTGATAGAAGACGAGGAGACACGTCCACACAGCAGGATTTAGTCCTGTTAAATCCTGTTTTAGTCCTGGTTTAGACCTGGTTTAGATTCCGGCAATGAGTGGAATTACGGGAAAAAACAAAACAAAAACGGGGGGATACAGCCCAAAATGTGAAAACAGGAAAATACTGCCATGTAATCCATTTATTTCAACAAAGTAACTGTAATCCAATTACCACTCACTGAAACAGTAACTGTAACTGAATACAGTTACTCATAATTTGTACTCTGATTACGTAACTCCAGTACATGTAATCTGTTACTCCCCAACACTTGACTAGGTGGCACCAGCCTGGCTGGTAGAGATCAGCAACTCCAGGGCTGAAATCTTCCAAATGATCCTAGTGAAGGTGTGTGGTGTTTAAAAACATGGTGGGGCACTTCCTGTATTACCACATCACAAGGTGGAATGTTTTTCTGTTTCAGCCTAAATCTGCAGGATTGTGTGTTAAACATGTGTGAATGAAACAAAACACAGCTCCAGGTCTGTTTGTGATGATTATAACATTATAACAAAAAAACAGAATAACACGGACCCTTTAATGGGAGTTGACTCGTGGAGTGTAGTAGTGGATTCTGGATTGGAGCATTGGGAGGGACTGTATAGACGTGTTGCTGAGTGGATAATGTATTCCATATTGTCCGGGGTAATATAGATCATATAGATCTCCAGGCTGCAGTGCTGTGGATGGGCAGTGAGCTTCTGTGGGAGGGAGGGGAGACTCTTTATAGGATTAATAATTCTTGGAAGATGAAAAGGCTCTGAGATGTTTTAATTAGCCAGGAGAAAGTTCTCTGCTGTAGTGGTTCAACAACCTAGCCAGGCTGGCGCCACCTAGTGCCTCTGCTCTAGGTCAGGAATGAGAATACACTAGACAGTTCACAAAAACCCCAGAAGTGTGTGAGTTCAGCAGCACCAGACCAACTGCTTCACTCGTCAGTGTATCGAAGCGCTTCATTGGCTCTTTTGGCATATGTGTCATTTTCGATGTGATCTACAAGTGGAAAAAAGTGATCCATGGTTTGGGATCACTTTGATCTAATTCCACTTAACAAGGTGTTACCTATTTTCTTATTTACAGCAGCTCTTTACATTTTATTTTAAATCATCATTAGTATTGTTGTGTGCAGAGCAACACTGTACCTCACAAGTATTGTCTTACTCTAACAATACTTCATCAATGCAGATAGAGGTCAGTGTTTCTCCAAGGCCTCAGACACATCGAACCATTTGAGACAATATTGCAACTGAGGTGTCAATGCTTCATTCGCCCATCACTAGGGAAAAGCTTAATATATCAGTTAGCAGAGCATTACATACGTCACGACCAAATAGCAGCGACTGGTTAAATGATAAAAAGTACCCACCTAACGAACGAATCCTAACACTGCGAGGTCACAAATTAAGTGAAACTGGCTGATGAATCAGGCCATCAGCAACGAGGTCGTTCACATTTTCAATTAAATGTGACTTGTATGTGACTCCAGTGTGAACATTAAACGGCCCAAAAGTGTCCCACATGTGACACTGGAGACATGATGACGTCAACCGCAGCGAGCGTCTCTGTGTTTATGGAAGTTGTCCAAACATGGACGCAGCATTGAGCACCTGGAGATTTTAAAGTTCCTCTCGTACCAGAGCCAGAACATGAACAACTTACTTGTTTTAAGGAGGAGATTGAGAAGGAGAAGGACGAGGTTTTTAGTTGTGGTGTTTTGTGGGACAGTCCATTGAAAGGAACATGTGGATGTGGAGACGTAGCCAAGAGTGGTGAGTGAAGATGTGCTTCACTTCAGTGACACAGAGTTCATTAACAATTTTCTCCTACTTCAGTGCAGAATAGTGACGTTTGTGTCTTGATGATAACGTGTAGGTGGATGAATGCACTTTGGCTGTTCACACTGAAGTCACATGTCAAAAGATCAGATATGTATCAGATTTAGGAGCACATATCCAAGTGTCCTGGGTCGCATTTGAAAAAATCGGATCTGTGTTGTTCAGACTGTCATTAAAAGATCAGATACAGGAACATAGGGGCCAAAAAAATCAGATTTGGGTCACTTCAGGCTGCAGGGTGAACGTAGCCTTAGTGTCATCTTAATAATAGCCATGCTGCTAATCAGTCTGATCAAAATATATGCTTCATTCCCCGTTATAATCTCTCTTCACACTTACGTCACAAACCAGGAAGACGTTTGGAAACATGCGATGACAACTTCAGGTGTAGTTCCCGACACTGGACTCACCGACCGACCGTGATCAAACCCACTGAAGTAAATGTGATCAGAGGTAAATGAAGACTGTAGACGTATGTGCTGTTTGGAATCATCTGGAATTTCATCTGGAATTTGGCGTCTCATCTCTTCTAATCACGTGTACCCGTGCACTCAGAGTTGTGCGTCAGTGCGGAAATGATGAAAACTGAGCTATAGTTGGAATTGTTGATTATCTGAACGTAACGGAATGGTACAATGACATGGAGACGAAGAAAACTGGAACATTTTCTCATTTTTTCTTGAACAGAGCCGCATGAAGTTGTCGTTGCATGTTTCCAAACGTCTTCCTGGTTTGTGACGGAAACGTGAATAGAGCCTCTTGCCAACAGAGGGCGACAAAATCACAATATTCATAAGGATACTGAAAAGGGTGTTGCAAAAATTCTCAATAGACTTTCCCAAAATAAAAATGATAAAAATTATAAACTATATTGTATGTTCCTTGACGCTCTTATCTTGATTTTATTATTAGCATTTATATTTTTATCTTATTACTGCTTTGTCCAATTAATTTCCCTTGTCTAAGTCTAATAATAAACAATTCTTTGAGGTTTTATACACATTTTATAAACTTTTCAAATGTTGGTAAGAGTCAAAATCCTGAATTGTTGGTCAGAAACTAAAAATGTGACTCCACATTATTGTAAAACCTTGTGTATTTTTTGTGTTTCAGGATGATCTTGGCCCTGGGCATCTCCATGACCTTCATAAACATCCCTGTGGAGTGGTTCTCCATCGGCTTCGACTGGACCTGGATGCTGCTGTTTGGAGACATCCGCCAGGGGGTTTTCTACTCCATGCTCCTCAGCTTCTGGATCATCTTTTGTGGGGAGCATCTCATGGTAAAAAACACTAACTCCTCCTCCACCATGAGTTTGGGTTAAAGGGACAGTGTTGGAGACGTGTGGAGACACTTTTTGAAATCTTCCATCCAGTCCTTGTATTTGCAGAGGTCACTGGTGTTAGACTAGTGCATGTCAATGGTCATAGTTCTCCTGCCACTAAAAACAGTCTTACCCACTCCACAAAACACCCCAAACAAATCTATTATTACACCAGACTGTCCATGTGAATGTCTGTGTCCATAGAATCATTTTAGAAGTAAAACCAACCGTTGTATTTGAAGGATTTCTGTCTGAGCAGAAGCAGCGATTTGTACTTCCTGACAGAAAGCTCGACAGCGGCGGACTGATATACAGTGTTGGGGAGTAATAGATTACATGTACCAGAGTTACATAATCAGAGTACAAATTATGAGTAATTGTATTCAGTTACAGTTACTGTTTCAATGAGTGGTAATTGGATTACAGTTACTTTGTTGAAATAAATGGATTACATAGCGGTATTTTCCTGTTTTCACATTTTGGGCTAAACCAGGTCTAAACCAGCTCTAAAACCAGCTCTAAACCAGGACTAAAACCAGGACTAAACCAGGACTAAACCAGGACTAAACCAGGACTAAAACCAGGACTAAAACCAGGACTAAAACCAGGACTAAACCAGGACTAAAACCAGGTCTAAACCAGGTCTAAACCAGGTCTAAACCAGGTCTAAACCAGGACTAAACCAGGACTAAAACCAGGACTAAACCAGGACTAAACCAGGACTAAACCAGGACTAAACCAGGACTAAACCAGGGCCAATTTGAAGAGAACAAACAAGAATTTTCAGGATGTGGTTGGTACATTCAAGTCGTTTTAAAAAGCATGACAATATCAAATAATCCAAAGTATTCAGATTACATTACTCACTTTAAGTAATTTAATGGATTCTGTTACAAACTACATTTTGGGGTATGTAATCTGTAATCTGTAGGGGAATACATTTTAAAAGTCACCTTCCCAACACTGATGATATATGACAAAATAGTCCCTCAACATGTGACAATTTATGCAAGTTTAATTTTATTTTGAACAATCAAACAGGCTGAGTTCTTCTCTCAAACTGAAAACACCCTGTGATGTCATGTGGTAATACAGGAAGTGCTCCATTATGTTTTTAAACTCCAAACACCTTCAATTGAATCACTTGGATAATATCACATCTGGAATTGTCAATATTTACTCAACTAAAGGAAAAAATGTAGCTGTTGTCTTAAATGCCTCATGACATCACAAGGTGGAACAGAGCATTTTGAGCTTTGGAGATGTAATAATGCAGCATTTTCTCAAAGATATAATTTAACAAAGGCTCAAATTAGGTAAATCATGAACAAAAGAAGCCGGGCCCAACTGGGGTAACAGAACAAAACTAACCCAACCAGACAAAAGAACAGGGCTGTTTAAATACTTGAGGACCAGTGTTGGGAAGGTGACTTTTAAAATGTATTCCCCTACAGATTACAAATTACACACACCAAAATGTAGTTTGTAATGGAATCCATTAAATTACTTAAAGTGAGTAATGTAATCTGAATACTTTGGATTACTTGGTTTGCTGTAGAGAAACAAAGACGCGGAAATTGTAACATAAGAAGTTTTGTCTGCTAAAAGACAATGAAAAGCCCAGACTTTACTGAACCAAATTAAAAATATTATTGATTGAAGACGAGGAGACACTGTCCACGCTGCATGATTTAGTCCTGTTAAATCCTGGTTTAGACCTGGTTTAGATCTGGTTTAGATCTGGTTTAGATCTGGTTTAGACCTGGTTTAGACCTGGTTTAGACCTGGTTTAGACCTGGTTTAGACCTGGTTTAGATCTGGTTTAGACCTGGTTTAGTGTCCGGTAATGAGTGGAATTACCAAACAAAACAAAAAAACTGGAATAGCCCAAAATGTGAAAACAGAAAAATACCTCCATGTAATCCATTTATTTCAACAAAGTAACTGTAATCCAATTACCACTCACTGAAACAGTAACTGTAACTGAATACAGTTACTCATAATTTGTACTCTGATTACATAACTCCAGTACATGTAATCTGTTACTCCCCAACACTGTTGAGGACCAACTAAAACTGAACACAAGAGGGGAGAATTACACTAAATAATTAACTAAAACTACTAACAAAAAAGCAAATAAGTATAATACAGAAAATAATAAGGGATAATAAGGGGACCTTAAAGCAAACTAAACAAACCAAGCTAGTAAAAAGACCTAAATAGTGCCCCCCCCCCTTGTTGATTCATTGGTTTCTCCCGAGGGTTGTCCGTTTGGCACTGAAAAACAAATGTAAGCAAATTTGTAAGACTTTTTGTAAGACTTGTATTAACTGAAATGTGTGCACCCAAATTAGAATATAAGTCTAAATAAAGGAATTAAATGATGTGTAATGTAATGAACTCAGTGCACATGAAATGAACTTAAGTGAAATAATCCTGACACTATGGAGTGGTGGTAGAGGTGTCCACCACAACAACTCGAGTTATGTTTTGATGAGGTGACAACATTCTAACATGACTAAAAGCTCACAAGAGTCAGTTTAGAATTTTGACAGCCTTTCATACAGTTCCTTTTAATTTCTCTGTTCTTTCTTCTCAGGATCAGACGGAGAGAAACCGGATCTCTGTTTACTGGAAGCAGGTCGTGCCCATCGTGTTTGGATCGTTCTGCCTTTTTATTTTTGACATGTGTGAAAGGTGAGCTCAGCAGTTTTACAAATGTTCTGATCTTCTGGGTCTGTCAGTTTTGTTACTTGCATTAATTGGTGTCTATTATTACAGTAGAATTCAGTGGGATAATTGATCATGTCTGTGGTCTATGTTTAATATTGTGAGGAGTTCACTGCACTTTATCAATTAGTGTAATGCTTAATGATTTGCAGTGGCCCAAAGTTATTCCTCATTTACCTTATGCAGTTAGAGTATCCCAATTACCTTATTTTTTGGACTATAAGTCGCACCAGCTATAAAATGTGTAATGAAGAAGAAAAAAACATGTCGCTTTTTTTGAGGAAGTTTGTTTTCTAAAATCAGAAACCAAGAACCAGCATTTTATTTATTTATTTTTTTACAATTTTATTTATACATTTCGGTAGCACATTACAGAGTATGTATACCAAACATTATATTTATGCATTTTTTCCCCCAAAATAACCTCAAGAAAAAACTAAACTAAACAAAACAAACAAAAAAAATGGATAAAATAGATAATAATAATAGCAATAGTAATAGTAATAATAAAAGCTAAAGTTAAAAAAATGTAAATATTATAATAGTAATAACAAATGAAAAAACAGCAGATAATACAAAGACAGATAAATACACAGCAACAGATTAAGAAAAAGACATACACAACCATGCTGAGGTATGGTGCCCATTTTATATGTGTCCATATATTTCAAAAAAGGCTGCCATGTTTTTTCAAATTTTGTGGTTGAACCTGCAAGGGTAAACCTCATGTGTTCAATGTGTAAAAAACTCAGAACTGGCATTTTCTGTGTAAAGTCAAGTTTTAGTAATAACAATAAAAGAGAGAAGAACAGACTGTTAATGTCACATATGAACAGTTCTTCAGATAAACTATAACATAAACAACAGAACAAGTTTACCAAACTCTCCATCTCACTCCAAATCACTAAATCCATTCAAGTTCTTCATCCTCGGTGTCACTTCTGAACAACTCCACGACCTCTGGAGGTAAACAGAGCGACGCAAACTCTTCTGTGTCGCTGTTGTCAGACTCAGCATCAGTTCCAGTTAGAATTATTCTGGTCTTTCTGAATCCTGACAGGATGGTTTCGGTGTCACTGAAGTTTAGGTTTTGTCCATCCATCCAGTGACTTCAGGAAAGTTTCATGGTGCATCCTCCCGGTTACTGTGAAGTTGTGTTCTCCAACTCTGCTTTCCGTCAGTCCTCACAAGTTTCTCGCTCACTCCACACTTTCTTTCTGCTGTTCGATTACCATTTTCTGCTGTATATTTCACAACGTGCAACAGGACAGAGGCTCTTTCTGCAGGAGACGTGCGCGGAAAACTGACACACAAGACTAGAGCCTCTCGCTATTTTAATATATAAGTTGCAGGAAACACCCAAACCATGAACAAAGTGCGAAAAATACAGTAGTCAGAGTTTTGTCATGACAGTAAACGCATTTTGCCCTAAAACATGGGAGAAAATCAGGTTGCAGGGCATTATAAGTTTATGAAATACTTTAAGTTTTTTGAACAATTAAAAAGTAGGGTTTGGTAATATGAAAAAAAAAAACAAAAAGCAAAGATGTTTTTTAGATCACAATTTAATTTCATCTTGCCTTGAGGAGACTAAATTTAAACCTGTTTGAAAGTTTATAGTTCATTGTGATTGGTTAAATCCAGCTAAAATCACAGTGTTTATCTTTTTCCTTCTGTTTTCAGAGGTGTCCAGCTGACCAACCCGTTCTACAGCATCTGGGCGTCTGAAGTGGGCACTGAACTGGCTGTATCCTTCAACTATGACACGAAAAAACCAGACCAACTCCACTCATAATCAAAACAATCCTCTTTACGTAACCTAACAAATGTTGCCTCAGCCCCGGTTGCGATGTTTCCTTGACGGTCTGTTCGGCAGATGGCTTTCATCATCGTGGCTGGGATCTGTGCCTGTCTCTACTTCCTCTTCCTCTGCTTCATGGTTTTCCAGGTTTTCAGGAACATCAGTGGGAAGAGGACCTCGCTCCCTGCCATGTCCAAGGCCCGGAGACTCCACTACGAGGTACGCAGCATTTTCTGATTTATCTTAGAATGTTATTTCAAAAACAGACCTGGAGTTGCATTTAGTTTCATTCACACATGTTGCATATTTGCTCCTCTGTGTTTTTAAACTCCGTACAACTTCCCTAGATTCATTTAGATCATTTCAGCCCTGGAGATGCCAATCTGTAATGAACACAAGGTAAAAGGAGCTGTTAACTTGAAAACTACCGCAAGGTGGAACAGAGCACTTTGATCTTTAGGGATATAGTCACCAGTTACTCAAACATGTGAGAATGAACTCAAACTTCAGCTCTAGGAATGGAAAGAACAAAAATGTGACTGTTTGCTGCAGGTGTTCCAATGACTGGGACCAGGTAGAGGATCAAAACTAATGACTAACAACCAGTGCTGGGGAGTAACAGATTACATGTACTGGAGTTACGTAATCAGAGTACAAATTATGAGTAACTGTATTCGATTACAGTTACTCTTTCAATGAGTGGTAATTGGATTACAGTTACTTTGTTGAAATAAATGGATTACATGGAGGTATTTTCCTGTTTTCACATTTTGGGCTATTCCGTTTTTTTGTTTTGTTTGGTAATTCCACTCATTGCTGGACACTAAACCAGGTCTAAACCAGGAATAAACTGGGACTAAACCAGGACTAAATCCAGGTCTAAACCAGGTCCAAACCAGGTGTTAAATCAGGTCTAAACCGGGACTAAACCGGGACTAAACCGGGACTAAACCGGGACTAAACCGGGACTAAACCGGGACTAAACCGGGACTAAACCGGGACTAAACCAGGTCTAAACCAGGTCCAAACCACGTCTAAAACCAGGACTAAACCAGGATTTAACAGGACTAAATCATGCAGCGTGGTCGTGTCTCCTCGTCTTCTATCAATAATATTTTTAATTTGGTTCAGTAAAGTCTGGGCTTTTCATTGTCTTTTAGCAGATAAAACTTCTTATGTGAAGATTTCCTCATCTTTGCTTCTCTACAGCAAATCAAGTAATCCAAAGTATTCAGATTACATTACTCACTTGAAGTAATTTAATGGATTCTGTTACAAACTACATTTTGGGGTATGTAATCTGTAATCTGTAGGGGAATACATTTTAAAAGTCACCTTCCCAACACTGCTAACAACTAACAACTAAGCCCTGCTGAAGACCAGTTAAGTTCCAAACATGTTGACTTTGGCCAGTCAAATCAAGGCCTTTTAACTACATTTTTCCTCGTGTGTTCTTTTACTTTTTCTACTTCTTTGGAGCGCCTGGAGTCCGTTGTGTTTTAGTCAACTCTAGGTATGTTTATAATGAAGTAACAACATTATAACATGGTTTAAACTCACCAGAGTTAATTTAGTTTGAGCAGTACACTCTCTGAAGCAATCTTGATTATGTGGGACAATAATCTAGTACTTGATTAGTAGTTTACTTACCATATTTTTTGGGCTATAAGTTGCTCCGGAGTACCAGCGCACCAGCCAAAACATGAGTCATGAAGAAGAAAAAAACATATATAAGTCGTACCAGACTATAAGTTGCACTTTTTGGGGGAAATTTATTTTATAAAATCAGAGACCAGGAGCAGATATTTCCTGTGTAATGTCAAGGTTCTAGTAATAACAATAGAAGAGAGAACAACAGACTGTTAACGTCACATATGAACAGTTCTTCATATAAACTATAACATAAACAACAGAACAAGTTTAACCAAACTCTCCATCTCACTCCAAATCACTAAATCCATTCAGTTCTTCATCCTCGGTGTCACTTCTTGAACAACTCCACGACCTCTGGAGGTAAACAGAGCGACCCAAACTCTTCTGTGTCGCTGTTGTCAGACTCAACATCAGTTCCAGTTAGAATTATGGACAGGATGGTTTCAGTTGTCTTTATGTTTGTTTAAATTTTTAATTGTCAGTGGTACAGAAGTAATGGAGCTATTGACTGACATGATACAGACAGGACAGTGGCTCTTTCTCTTTGTTCTGCAGCCGCCATGCGCAGTTGAGTGAAGTGACAGTGGTCGAGGAGCAGAAGACTAGAGCCTCTCACGGCTTCAGTGTGAAAATTTTAACATTTAAGTCACAGGAAACACTCAAAACCATGAGAAAAAGTGCAATTTATAGTCTTAAAAATATGGTACTGGTTTATTCCCTGTTGCGTCTCCTATTTTAGCCGCATATCATTTCTCTTTTCTTGCTTCCTTCTCCTTAATTCTTCTCCTCGATTCTGCACGAAATGTTTGAGGAAGTCCCGCCCACAGAGGAGACAGTGAGGAGAGAGGATATAAACTCCTCACTGAGACCGATAAAATTCTTTCCTCTGACGTCTGCTCCTCAAGCCTCCCTCAGGTTTACTCCTTCCTTTTGTGGTTTCCGTTGGGACACCGCTTAATATGACACATTTGATTGACAGCTAGAAGATGGCGAAAGAGAAGGAAGCAAGGAAAGAGAAATGAGATGTGGCCGTTATTTTTTATTACTTCCTGCTGTGTCTCCTTTTTATTAACTGTTTACATCCCCTTGTGTCTTCTTTATTAACGGTTTACTTCCCGTTTGTGTCCAGGGTCTGATCTTCAGGTTTAAGTTCCTGATGCTGGTCACTCTGACATGCGCCGCCATGACGGTCATCTTCTTCATCATCAGTCAGGTAACATCCGAACGGCTCTTTCTACAGCCCCATACACTACTAATATAAGTAGAAGAGAGCGAATATCACAATTTTCTTAGTGCCAGATCACAATTTCAATACAGTAACGATTCATGTTTTCTTTTCTTTTATACAGTGTTTAAGAGGTAACTATTTGAGTGTGACTGATTATATTTAGGGATGCACCAATCCAGCTTTTTCAGTCCCGATATTGATACTTTTATAAGTATCGGCCAGGAAGGAAAATAGGACTTATTTCTTTAAAACACAGTTAACTTATTACACACGAGATCCAGTAGTGTGATGTAATTGTTATTTATCCTTCAAATAACGACTGAACATCTTTGTAGGAATAAAAATTCAAACATTAAGAGACCAAAATCAGACTGTAAATAGTTTTATTACATCCAATTAAAGGCCCATATTGGTTAATCATTGTCCAGGAACCGATACCTGATCCAGTACATGTTTGAGTATCTCCACCAATATTCGATCTCAGTACAGTACAGTGCAGTAGTTATAATCACCGGTCCAGAGGTGGGACCAAGTCTTTGTTTTGCAAGTCTCAAGTAAATCTCAAGTCTTTGACCTCATGTCCGAGTCAAGTCCCAAGTCAAATACAGACAAGTCCAAGTCGAGTCTCGAGTCACCGGCCCATAAGTCCAAGTCAAGTCCAAGTCGTCTGCTTTGAGCTTCAAGTCATTTCAAGTCTTTAAACCAAATTACCAAATATATCTTAGATTTTTACAATTTATATGAATTTTGAACTAAATTTTACTTAAAGTCATGGTGTATTTATATAAGATTTGTAGAAATGCAAATTTTTCCTTTTTAAATGTCTTGAAGATCTTAGTGTCACAGTTCTGCCTTTTGTTTACTTGTTTCCCCCCAGTCCAGTTCCATTTCTCAGTCTGTTCCGGTCCTCCTTTTGCCACCTCCCTCCTTTCCCTACAGCTGCTCCTCATTCAGTAATCAGCCCAGGCCCAGTCTATATAGACTCTCTCTGCCCCCCTCAGTCTTTGCTAGATTGTCAACCTGTAAAGACAGACACTCAAGCTCCTGAAAACCCTGAATCTGATCTGTTTGCTACTTCTGCAATTCTGTGTTTCCCTGTTGTCCCTGTTCCTGAGTTCACTCCCAGTCATTTCATACTTGTGTACTTCCCAGTCTTGGAGGATATTTCTGTTCACATTTTATAACATATATTCCTCTGTTATATTTTCAGTCTGAGTTACCATTATACATTACCTGTTAGAGGACACTTTCCGTTATTACCTAAGACTTTGTTTGCCTGTATACTTGTGTTGCATTTGAGTCCAATTTACCTGCGTGATACTTGGTATGAATTATTACAGTCAGAATAGAAAGAATTAAGATTAAAAAGTGCTAAAGAAGTTATTTTGACAAGTGCAGATTGCACTGAAATGGAAGGATCATGTTCTCTGTTGTACTGTACTGTACTGTATTGTATTGTATTGTATTTTACTGTAGTACATTTGAAGATGCCATCTCACAGTACTTCAGTTCCATCCAAAGTAACAAATAGAGAAGTTGGAGGGACATGTTCCAGTTTGTTCCTGTAAATTTAAGCATATTAATAAAGAGAAAAGTATTTTCTAAAAAAACATATAATTAGGAGAAGCATCAAGTCTTCTCAAGTCACAGGCCTCAATTCCAAGTCATGTCCCAGGTCTATTTTATTAAGTCAAGTCTCGAGTCACAATTTTTAGGACTTAAGTCCAAGTCAAGACTTGTGAGTCCCGCCTCTGCACCTGTCACTCACTCAGAGCATGATGGAGACTGACCAATGGGAGGAGGGGATAGTGGAAAGTGTCATTAAACAGATAAAACAGGAAAACACAACAAGGTGATTTAACCAGAATAGCAGTTTGTCACAGGGATGAGGTGATTAGATTTTGATCTTGGTCCAGCTCTTTTCCCAGCTCTACTCCTGACATTATGTGTTGACCCTGTTTGACCCTGTGTCCTTCTCCACTGCTCTGTTCAAGTGTGGAAGACGTGAGTGTGATCGGGTCTCCTCTAAACAAAGGTGGTCCTGTCTCTTGTGTACAGACTGTGGCTCGTCTTCATAATGGGCCTTTTTGAATCAGGATCAAGAAACGCTCTTAAACAAGGCCACCTCAGAGACGCCATTCTGCTCCGATTATCTGAAGGAGACATGGGCCAACAGCTCTGACATATTGTGCAAAATCAACTTTTATGATGCTAATCTCATTTCCTCATAAAATGTGAAGTATAATTCTGTTTACATGGGTGGTCTCCTCACAGACGGACAAAATGTAATTACTGTTACGTAAGCTGTCCATAAACTTTAGCTGGACTTCCACTGATACATTTGTGACTCGTGTTTGACTTGGCCCAGTACACGTATATTATATAAGAGGTTCAAAATAATAATAGTCTGCTGCGTGCTGTCTGCATCCAGCTGTCAAAATGTTATGGTCTCAATCAGCTAGTGCGCAGTTTGCATGCTAGTTTACTGTTTAAAGTGCTTAAAGGTCCTATATTTAGGGCTGGGTATCATTAAGAAGTTGCCGATACGATACATACCTCGATACACAGGCCACGATACGATACATATCTCGATACACTGCACTTTCGATTCAATATATTTCAAATCGATTTGATACGATTCAATAAAAAATAAAGGCTAAATCATGGCTGTGATACTAAAAGTCTTTGTTAAACCACTTTTTGTCCAAAGTTCATATGAAACACAAACATTTTAATCCTCAAAACAGTGAAAATGTCAAATGTGTCGCATAAATGAGTTTCCTTTCACTCCACAAGCAACAAAACTGTAGCTGTAACAAAATAATTTAGTAAAACACACCTAAAAATACTCTTGGTGAAATATCCATACAGCAGCCCATGATATCGATACGATATATCGATATTCAGATATTTTTGCACACCCCTACCTATATTACACTATTTTCTGAAAAATATAGCTGGAGTTGTTTTGTTTCATTCACACATTTAACATACAAACACATATTTAGGCTGAGTTCTTCTCTCAAACAGAAATGCACCTTGTTCCACCTTGTGATGTCATGTAGTAATACCTGAAATGCTCCACTGTGTTTTTAAACTCCACTCACCTTCACTAGAATCATTTGGATGATTTCAGCCCTGAAATTGTCTGTATTTACTGAACAAAAGGTAGAAGTTCGCTCCAAACATAAAATACAGCTTCATGACATCACAAGGTGGATTCGTGTTTGTTTTTGATGAGGTAACAACATTATAACATGGCTTAAAGCGCACAAGAGGCAATTTTGCGCAATATAGGAGCTTAAAGGGACAGTTCTGAATCTTGAACATGTAGGACCTCATTTCCTCGTGATCCAGAGTGTTGGAGACGTGTGGAGACACTTGTTAAAATCTTCCATCCAGTCGTCGTATTTGCAGAGGTCACTGGTGTTAGACTAGTGCATGTCAATGGTCATAGTTTATCCTGCCACTAAAAACAGTCTTACCCACTCCACAAAACACCCCAAACAAATCTATTATTACATGTAAAATGTCTGTGTTGATAGAATAATGTTAAAAGTAAAACCAGCCTTGCATTTGAAGAATTTGTCTGAGCAGCAGCAGTGAGTTGTACTTCTTGATAGAAAGCTTGGCAGTGGCGGACTGATATATGAGAAAATAGTCCCTCAATATGCAACGATTCAAGTGATGCAAGGTTGGTTTTACTTCTAAATTGATTCTATGGACACAGACATTCACATGGACAGTCTGGTGTAATAATAGATTTGTTTGGGGTGTTTTGTGGAGTGGGTAAGACTGTTTTTAGTGGGAGGAGAACTATGACCATTGACATGCACTGTCTAACACCAGTGACCTCTGCAAATACAAGGACTGGATGGAATATTTCAAAAAGTGTCTCCACACGTCTCCAACACTCAGGACCTCATTTCCTAGTGATCCAATGTCCAAAATTCTGAACTGACCCTTTAAAAGCAGCTCTTGATACTAAGATGGGGGGACTGAATGACTTACTGAATGGATTCCTGGGAGATGTTTAGTGACTGGTATTTTCTTAAACACTAAATGTTGTTACATGTTGTGTTTTTTGTCAGGTGAACGAGGGCCACTGGCACTGGGGCGAGCACACGGTCCAGGTGAACAGTGCGTTCTTCACGGGGATCTACGGTATGTGGAACCTCTACGTGTTCGCCATCATGTTCCTGTACGCGCCCTCGCACAAACGCTACGGAGACGAGCAGACCAGCGGACAGTGCATCACCGGTACGACACTCACTCTATTCATCATTCATGTCAGATTTGACCCATAATTACACTTATTTAAAGGTGCATTGTGTAACTTTTCTCCTTCTGTCCATGGAGATGTTACTGTTCTGTCTGGATAGTGCATCTTTAAAGAGTCTCTGGGTCATTCCATCTCAATTCACCCCCAAAAACTGCAAAGAAAATTGGTATATGGGTAAGTCAAAACCAAGAAAGCTCAAATCTCAAGTTTTTGCATGATCAGACCAACGGTTTGTGAGATATCATTATTTATATATATAGCAATATATAGCAATTTCATTTTTAAATTTTTTTTTAGCGTGGTCACCGAATTTCAAACGGCATTTACTCAGCAACTACTGGTCCGATATCTAAAACGAAGGTGTCTCTGGAAAAGGGTAATCATAATCCAAAATCATTTATTTTTGCATTTGAGTAATTTTGAAATGAATTATCTTTTGACCTATATTTTTGACCTTGAAATTGACAATAAGTGACTCACCCGACTTCAGTGACACCAACAGAAAAAATGTAGCCCTATATGTGGACTACAACATATAAAAAATCTGGACTTATTTTCACACAAATTTACCTAGTCCATGTTGATATACTCTTAGAAAAACTGATCATTTTTGATATTAGACCAGTAGTTGCTGAGTAAATGCAATTTGAAATTCGGCGACCATGCAAAAAAGTGAAAAAAGGAAATTGCGATATCTTGGAAACTTTTGGTGGGATCAAACTAAAATTAAAAACTTTCGCTTTTCTGGCTATGGTTTACCTATATACTAAGTTTCATCAAAATCTGACAATGAGTTAATGATTGGATGAAATGAGGTGCACTGACCCCTCTCCTTGATTCTTATAAGCACCAGTAATAAACATAAACCATTTTTTCAGAGGCAGACTATTAAAAGAGAAGTAAACTCCTTTTGGGCCCTGGACCGGTGGTTTGGGACCCCTGTTTTTAGAGTTTGTGTGTTAAATGTGTGAATGAAACAAAACACAACTCCAGGTCTGTTTTTGATGAGGAAACCACATTACAATATAAACAGGTAATGGGCCCATTTAAAGAGTTTTTCAACAACATGGGTTTAAGTTGAGGCTTTGTAAAGTATTGAGGGCATTTTCCAGACAGGGGGATGCGTTGAATTAGGTTTCCCTCTTTCATTTCCTGTGCATTTGCCAGTGCATTGAGGCGCTTCATTGGGATGTTAAGCCCGAGCTCATTCACAGAGTCTGGTTTGTTTGTGGAGCAGGGGCCCCCGAGCTCAGAGAGGCTCCCAGGGGAAAGGGGCCTTCTCTGGGCCAAGAGGGAGACACCAGGGGCACCAGGCAATCCTCCAACATGGACGTTTAGAGAGGAGGAGGAGAGGAGGAGAGCAGGGGAGGAAGAAGAGGATGGAAGGAGTTAGGAAGTAGAGGAGAGGAGGGAGCAGAGGTAAGAGGGAGAAAGGACAGAAGGAAGAACAGGATGGGGGAAGATCAGGGCGGAAGAAGCGCCCTCATCTGTGGTGTTAAGGAGTGTCTGAATAGTGTGCTGGGTTAGGAGGAGTTAGGAAAAGGAGCCTGGTTCCTTTTGTACCTCCTCTAGCACAGGAACCTCGGGAGCTTCCTAAACAGCAGTGAGGAGCTATGAAACATCCCACAATCCAGTGCGTGTTTCCGAACACGGCCAATCTCTGCACCAAGAGTTAGTGATGTATCGTAAAACTATATATCAGTTTTGCCTCAGACATTAGTTAAAGTTGGCTTTATCCAAATAGTTGCGTTATAAGAGTGGAAAGAGTGTCTTTTAGGCTCATCACAGCTTGAGGTGCTCTGTTTGGAGACTATTTAATGCCATGGGCCTTTAAGTAGGATTTGTGCACATTTGTTTACATTTATAGAAACTAAACTTAAAGCCGTACGGCACATTTCCATAAGCTAATTAGCATAAACGCATGCCGATGGAACCGTGCAGCGCTCTGTGCTCCGGAGAAGGACTAAAGGACAGGATTTGGAGGATTTGGTGGAGTATTTGTTGTGACAGAGCAGAGGCTGCAGCTCATGGTGAGTCTGGAGACTTTCTTCTGTTCTGTGCATGACTGCGCAAATCGAGACGCCGGAGGTGGTGGCTGAACTTTAGCACCACCTTCCTTAGCCGAGCTTTTTGTTACGCAGCACTTTGACTTCACTGTTCAGACCGGTGAGTTATGTACTGTCATGTTGAAATTCTTATTTAAATCAGTAGTGCAGTAATGGAGAATGAGGTGCACTCTTGTAGTGCGTTCTGTGGGTGTTGTTGCCAGGGACACAACGGTAAATATTGACCCCTAGAAATGATTGATGACATCTATGTTCCATCTGTGTCATCATATATTGAACGATAAGTCAGTCTAGTGATTATTGTGACAGTTTAAAGGGCCTTTGTTACACTATTTAATCAAATATACGATGATGTTGGTTCCTGTTATATACCTGATGTTGATTTGTTTCATTCACACAAGTTTCACACAAAAACCCTGAATACTTAGTTCTTTTGTCAAACAGAAAACTCTGTTCCACCTTATGATGTCATGTGCTAATACAGGAAGTGCTCTGCTGTTTTTTTTCTTAAACCCTATACATCTTCACTAGAATCAGTTGGACAATTCCAGCCCTGAAATTGTCAATCTCTACCTAACTTAAGGTAAAAGAGTAGGTGAAAACTACCACTTCATGACATCACAAGGTGGAACAGAGCATTGTGAGTTTTGGAGATGTAGACAGACTAATAAAGAGTTACTCAAACATGTGTGAATGAAACAAAACACAACTCGGAGTATGTTTTTGAGGAAGTAACATTATAACATGACTTAAATCTCACAAGAGTCAATTTAGCATAATACTTTAATAAATGCAAGCAGATTTAATACAAATGTGATGTTTTTTTTTTTTTTGTCAAGGTGACACTGGTGCCAGCAGCGGGGAGGACATCCAGCTGACCACCACCATCACCCACGTGGACGGGCCCACCGAGATCTACAAGATGACGGGCAAAGAGGCGCAAGAGTAGAACCTACGTGCCCCCGAGGACGACTCACCACTGCCCCCTACCCAACCACCCCTCTCCCCCCTCCCCTCCCCCCTCACCAGCTCAGCCAATGGGGACTCCAAACACAAAGGGGAGCTAGAACATTCCTTTTCCAGAGACTGAATACTATCTTATCACGTCTGGTCATTTCATTGAGAAAACCACTTTATTGCCAAAGTTGGGTTTGATAATGAAACGTGATACAGTCCAGGTACACACTCCTCTCTTATTATTATTATTAGTATCGGTACCGGTAAAAAGTAGAAACTGGATTTTGAGCAAAAGAACTTTTATACAATGTGGAAATATCCTTTAAAGGGGCACTGTGTAACTTTTCTGGTGGTTAAATGATCTAGTTTGTATTTATTCAGTTCCAGGTGTTTTATTGCATTCTCAGTGTGCTGTGAGTGGGCTTGCCTTTCCACAGATCTGACCTCTAACAAGGCCAGGTAACGTCATCTGCTTTTCTCACTGGAGATGTTTAAGTTTAATACAGCAACAGTCCAGGCAAAGCAGACCCTCAACCAGGAAAGTTACATAGTGCACCTTAAAATCAAAACATTTTAAAGATTTTTTTAAACAGTTTAAACATTTTTCACCATTTTTGTGTAATAATATATTTTTGCATAAACATTTTAGATTCTTTTATTTGATTAAGTGACAAACGTTACTTGAAATGTCCTAAAAGTTGGGCGAAATACACGAGAAATTATTACAAAACACTAGTTCACAGATGTGGACAAATGTTTTAGTTAAATTATGCCAAAATTTAGGGATGCACCAATCCAGCTTTTTCAGTTCTGATAGTCTTCGTATCGAAATCAGTTTCAATACTAATGAAATAATTTAATGAACCTGCATATCACCGTATCAAACGATCTGCGTCCAGACACGTCGTTTCTGTGTCCGCAAGTCTCCTCTATCCACACAGCTTTGAGCATATTTGTTTATATTTGACAGAAACTAAACTTAAAACCACATGACTCATTTGCATAAACTAAGCCTCAAAAAACAGTTCTCTATTCTGTCGCTGATGTGGTTCAGCTTCTGTCGGACTAAAGGACACGACTCAGTGGAATCTGAGTGTTCTTTCTGTGACAGAGGGGTGTTCTGCTGATGGTGAGTCTGTTCTGTGTTTCTGTCGTGTTGGAGATGGTTCATGTGAAACTTTTCAGAAATTATACGTCTGCAGGTCGTACACACAGACACACGTTTATATGAATGGACAGATATTCTAGCCTCTTAGTGTTTTGGCGGTGCACAGACCTACATCAGAGTATCAGTGTTTTCAGGCGTCCACACAGTGCCGGATCAGATCTGTACTCAGATGAATTCGTGGGAACTGGAGGCACCAAATCTGCATCCACAACCAAAACAACTCCAATACACACTAGTGTGGACGAGGCCTAAAGCTTTAACTACATGACGATGCCCAATGTCAACAGATGCCAGTGCAGAGACTCTAAATAGCATTTATTCGCTTTAAACTAAGATAAAATAAGACAAAACTGATCCAAATGTGTCGCGTAGTAGCTGTTACTTATCTCACAAGTAACCGCAGAACATTTTTGTATAAATAAAAGTTCAAACATGAGACTTTCGGGGTTTAGTATGACCGGTAAATAGTCATATTACAACAGTTTGTTTGTCCAACCAGGATATCGGCTCAACTAATATTAGAAACAGATTTTCTTTCCTCTTTTTTTGTTTGTTTGAGTTTGTTTCCCCTGAATTTTTTAGTATCGGCGTTGTTTTATTTGTTACAGATCGGTGCATCCCTATCCAAAATGTAAAAATTCCACAAGTGTCACAAACCAAAAACTAGTCACATTTTTGACATTTTTAAGTTGTCATTACCCTAAAACGTAGTATTCCCATCATTTGACACACTCCTGTTTGAAACTTTGAGGAGGTAAAACTTTCTCAAGCTGATCTCGCGCTCCTCCATTTTTGTTTTATACCCATATTTCTCATTTATTCTTCTCGACCACGTGGGCATCTGACGTTCATTTTAGTGTTTTTACTTTTATTGAGGGAAGCCTGGACAGACCCACGCACTCCTGTCATTATGTTACTATGTAGATATGTATTTTTTATAAACTATGTCAACTCTATCAAATATACACCGCTATCGATACGTGTTATTTGAAGTTGATTGTAGCCTAGTATACCATTTTTAGTTTTTTTTGTTTTTGGTTTTTATGATTTTATTTAAATAAAACGTTTACATAATCTTTGAGTTTTGAGTGTGATTGATTAAGGTTTAGTCGTTTTTATTTAATTTAGATTATAATGATTTATATGGGGCATTAAAAAAGGAGAAGTAGTGAAAGAGAGTTGGAAAGCAAATGTGATTTTCAAGTTTATAAGTACAAGTTTTTCTGATTTATGTTTTAATGTTTCCTCATCGCAAACGGACCTGGAGTTTTGTTTGGTTTCATTCACACAAAACATTTAACATGCAAACTCTGCATTTTTAGTTGTCTTAACACTCTGTCCCACCTTGTGATGTCATGCGGTAATACAGGAAGTGCTCCGTTGTGTTTTTAAACTCCACAAATGTTCACTAGAATCATTTGGATGATTTCAGTCCTGGAATTGCTGATCTCTACTGAACAAAAAGTAAAAAATCCATGTATCATTCCTTCATTTGTTTTTCAATATAAAACCAAAAATAAGAAAATGATAAAACAACTATTTTCTTCATTATTTGTCTCTTGACCAAAATAAAAAATTGAATAATGATTTGTTTATTCAGTTTTTCGATTTTGTGTTTAAATGAAGAATGGAAAAACAGATAACAGACGTTTCCTGTTTACGTGACTTCAGTGACTGCGATGCCAGACTGAACCAGGACTGATCCAGGTCCAGGACCAGACTGGAACCAGACTGGAACCAGAGCGGGACTGAGACTGAGACCAGACTGGGACCAGACCAGGACCAGACCGTGACTGAAACCAGACCGGGACCAGACTGGGACCAGACGGCAGGGCAGGAGCTCGAAGCTGAGGCTTGGAGTCAAAGCTCGGAGTCCAGTCTGGTCCCGGTCTGGTCCCGGTCTGGTCCCGGTCTGGTCCCGGTCCCGGACCTGGATCAGTCCTGGTTCAGTCCGACATCGCAGTCACGGAAGTCACGTAAACGGCAAACGGACGTTATCCGTTTTTTCCATTTTTCATTTAAACACAAAATCAAAAACTGAAAAAAGGAATCATTATCTGTTTTTTCATTTTGGTTTTGGAGACAAATAATGAAGAAAATAGTTTTTTTTTTTTTTCCGTTTTCTTATTTTTGGTTTTATATTGAAAAACAAATGAAGGAATGATACATGAATTGTAAAACTACCACTTAAAGACTTCACAATTTGGAAGAAAATTGAAAGAACTCATTTTGAGATTTGGAAATATGTAAATAAAACAAAACAAAACTCCAGGTCTGTTTTCGATGAGTTAACAACATTCTAACATGGTTTAAAGCTCCCAAGAGTAAATTTTGTGATCATTTTGTGTGTAATGTTGGACTTTTAATCCTTTTTATATATAAATCCATTGTTTCCTGGTCTTTTTTTCTGCTTAAAGAGTTGTTTTTGCCTGAACTCCAGTGCAGGTGTCGTCTAGTGAGGGCAGTTCGGGTCAGATACACACACGTAGTAGTTTTGAGAGCTGTGGCCACGCCCCCTTTTTTAGTCTACCAATCGATCAGCGGGACATGTCTTTAGTCGACCAAGGAGCTCTTTAGTCGACTACAATATGTTTCAAAATATGAGAAGCAGTTGTAAAATGTTGGCTCTTCGTTTCAATACAATCCTCAAATTCCTGCGTGTGGGTAAAGGAGACACTGCCTCTCGATGGTGAATGCAAGAACCTATCTCAACTGTCAATTATTGGAGGTACACAGGAGAAAGGTGACAAGATTTTCACAATAAAACAAAAGAGAGTGACTATAGATGTTAAACTGTGGGTTATTTTGTCACTTCAGCCTCATACGTTAGTTAAAGGGCCTATTTTATTTTCTATTCTATGTTATAAAGTTGTTTTCTCATCAAAAACAGACCTGGAGTTTTGTTTTGTTTCATTCACACATGATTGACACGCAGGAGTTGGAGCTGTAGGAGCCATGTGGTACACCGGGAAGTGCTCCACTGTGTTTTTAAACTTCACATACCTTCACTAGAATCATTTGGATCATTTCAACCCTAGAATTGCTGATCTCTAGTAAAAGGCATTTGTTAACTTGAAAACTACAACTACAATGATTAATGAGGTTAATAACGCAGATTACTCAAACATGTGCGAATGAAACAAAACACAACTCCAGATCTGTTTTTTGATGAGGGAGCAACATGGTTTACAAGTCAATTTTGCAAAATATAAGACCTTTACGCACTTTAGGAGGACTTTTTTCAAAATAGTTGTTGGAACACACAGATCCTGATACCCCAAAACATCAGAGAAATGGGAATAGTTCAAAATAAAACCTCCAAATAACGTTTCGGTATCTTAATTTGACTATCACTATTGTGATTAATAATTGGAATAGTAGACTTATTTTGCACTGTGGAAAAGAAAAATACACCAGGACTGGAAGATTATTCAATTACCTGGGTCAGGGGTCTCTAATTAAATTTCCCTGAGGGCCAAAATATTTTCCCATTACAAAACCGGGATCCACAAAAAACCTGCCAGAAGACAATGTTTTAATTGCCAAAATACAAAAAAACTGATCAACAAATATAACTAACTGAAAACTTTATCAGAAGCATACGGTGTTTCTCTTTCAGTTCCTTGTGCGTTCGTTGGAAAATCGCAAATTGTATAAAGCCAAATAAAACAAAACCACATCAGAACTGCACTGTAAACAGAACCAATGTAAAACACATCTCTTTAATGACAGAAGAGGCACCGATGTGAAGAAATATGACCTGGAATGTGTAGAAGCAATCCTTAAACCCTGTTCAAGCACTGTCCGTCTGTTTCTATCTGGATTTATTTAAATTTACAGTTTTTTTTCCCACACATAAAATCAATATAAATGTAAAAAACACGGTAACACTTTATAATAACTACACCTTATTTAGCCTTAATAAAGCATGAACAAAGGTTTAATTAATAATGAACAAAGACTTAATTAATAATGATTCACGCACTAATACTAATAATACAATGTAATGATAACTAACAGATAACAGCTGCCTGAATTAAGTCTTTTTGAGAGCTTTTCTTAAGTGAAGACGAATTATCCTTTATTAAGCATTTACTAAGCGTGAATCATTGTTAATTAAGTCTTTGTTCATTATTAATTAAGTCTTTATTCATGCTTTATTAAGGTTAAATAAGGTGTAGTTATTATAAAGTGTTACCCAATAAATAACATAAGACCGTATTTTTTACACTCTTAGACGCACTCTTAAGCCTCCAACCCCATCATAAAATAACTGCGCGCCACAATCCAGAGCGCCGTATACATGAGGTGTCCCAGCACGACTTCAGTAAACTACAAAGCCGCAGAACACGCAAACACACACGGAGCAGACAGCGACCGCACAGCGACAAACACCCACAAACACACTCATCACTCCACGCCGACGAGGAACGGAACGGAGGAACGAACCGAAAAATGCGAGCGCGACGTGCCGCTTCTAGACACAACTGAACAACTGAGTCACTGTGAACACACCGACAATCCCAGACAGCCCCCTCCCTACACGCCACAACTGAACAAAGCCCAGAGTCACCGTGAACGCACAAACAAACAAAACCACTCACCCATCACACTGTTGGGTTTCCTTTAAAGTCCAGTGCAGTTTATTTGTGAAAAAAGCTGGAAAATAGACCATTTAATGACTAATCCAGAGCGCCTAATAGTGCAGAAAATACGGTAATAGCAATAATGATCATGATGATACTAAATAATAATGAAAAAGGATTATAAATACATACATATAAGATAAATAATAATAGATGAATAACTAAAAGGAGAGGCAGTTGGGTTACACATTCATACAGTACATTTAGTCCAAGAGTACACGTTTTCAGGATTTCCGTTGTTTGTTTTCAGTTTGTTATTTTCCCCTTTAATAAAAAAAAATCCTTTACATTTCGTCTTACAGTTACTCCACACTTCATACAGTTTCATTTTCTCCACCGCTGTCACAGTTAACATAGTTCACGTAGGTTTTCCATTTGTTTTTTTAGGCCTAATCCGAATTTTTTATATTGTTCATGACAGAAAAAGATGCTTCACGTACATAGGTAGGTAAACGCCTTGGATTTATGTGTTGTTGGCATGTGAAAATACATGTGCAATAAATAATGTATAATTTAGTATGAGTATTAGTATTAAGTATTGCAGTAGTCCTCCTTATCCATATTTTGAAAGCTGTGATGTCTCCAGTGTTGGGGAGTAACAGATTACATGTACTGGAGTTATGTAATCAGAGTACAAATTATGAGTAACTATTCGGTTACTCATTCTGTTTAAGTGAGTGGTAATTGGATTACAGTTACTTTGTTGAAATAAATGGATTACAAGGCGGTATTTTCCTGTTTTCACATTATTTTTATTTTTACTTTTTATTTTTGTCGTTAATTCCAGTCATTGCTGCAAACTAAATCAGGACTAAAACCAGGTCTAAACTAGATCTAAACCAGGTCTAAACCAGGACTAAACCAAGACTAAAATCAGGTCTAAACCAGGTCTAAACTAGATCTAAACCAGATCTAAACTAGATCTAAACCAGGTCTAAACTAGATCTAAACCAGATCTAAACTAGATCTAAACCAGGTCTAAACCAGGACTAAACTAGGACTAAAGCCAAGTCTAAACTAGATCTAAACCAGGATTTAACAGGATTTAACAGGACTAAACCATGCAGCGCGGATGTGTCTCCTCCTCTTCTATCAATAATATTTTTAATACGTTCAGTATTCTTGTTTTTGCTTCTCTACAGCAAATCAAGTAATCCAAAGTATTCAGATTACATTACTCACTTTAAGTAATTTAATGGATTCTGTTACAAACTACATTTTGGGATATGTAATCTGTAATCTGTAGGGGAATACATTTCAAAAGTCACCTTCCCAACACTGCAGGTCTCTCCAGGACTCGTGATATTTTGAAAGAGCGTGGCGGACGTTACCTGCCGACAGCGTTCCACTTTACGCACGCTCTTCGGAGATCCGCCTCTTGGCTTCGTGTAAACTCGGCTCTTCCCGTCGCCAAGTGCCTGACTCGAACGGAGGAGGAAAACCCTAAGGGAAAGGTGGAAGACTTCTATGACAGAAATACTCCAAACAACCAAATACTCACGCGGAGAGAAGAAACTGTGCCATTTTTACGCACGCTCTTGCAGTTTTCCCCCCTGTGGTGATTTGGCGCGTCTTGGTGAAATAGTGCCATAAGAAACGTCTCCTCCCAGTTTGTTGTCGGATACTGTTGATTCTTCAGTGGACTTGTTCGGGGGACACGGGCAGAGGCGAGTGGACATTGGCACGGACAGGTAAGACCGCAGTTGTACCGTAACGTCTGTAAAAACTGTCCACAAAGCGCGCGGTGAAATCTGGTGAATTTCATTGACTTGAGCAACAGTTGGGAGCTGCTGCCATGTTTTTAGTCTGAGTCTACCATTCCGAGCAGGGGCGGAGCTGAAAAGTTAGACCGTGGGGTTATTGGGGGGGTCCAGTGGGGTCCAACCACGGATCTGCATCAGGTCTATTTAACAGTGTTGGGGAGTAACAGATTACATGTACTAGAGTTATGTAATCAGAGTACAAATGATGAGTAACTGTATTCAGTTACAGTTACTGTTTCAGTGAGTGGTAATTGGATTACAGTTACTTTGTTGAAATAAATGGATTACATGGCGGTATTTTTCCTGTTTTCACATTTGGGGCTATATCCCTTTTTTTTTTCTCTGTAATTCCACTCATTGCCAGACAGGTCTAAACCCAGGTCTAACCCAGGTCTAAAGCAGGTCTAAAGCAGGACTAAAGCAGGACTAAAACCAGGACTAAACCAGGTCTAAACCAGGACTAAACAAGGACTAAACCAGGATTAAACAAGGACTAAATGAGGACTAAACCAGGTCTAAAACAGGATTTAACAGGACTAAATCATGCTGCACGGATCGTGTCTCCTCCTGTTCTATCAATAATATTTTTAAAGACTCTGCCTTTTCATTTTCTTTTATCAGACAAAACATTTTATGTTACAATATCCTCGTCTTTGTTTCTCTACAGCAAATCAAGTAATCCAAAGTATTCAGATTACATTACTCACTTTAAATAACTTAATGGATTCTGTTACAAACTACATTTTGGGGTATGTAATCTGTAATCTGTAGGGGAATACATTTTAAAAGTCACCTTCCCAACACTGCTATTTAATATGTCCAATAAAAAAAAAAAAAAAAAAAAAAAAAAAAAAAAGATGCAATGGAGATGTTCTAACTTTGTCTGGAATGTTTCACAATATGGCTTTAAACCTTTTTATCTTCATGGAGACCAAGCCAGACCAAGTTACAGGTCAGATCTGTGGAGAGGCGACCCCGCTCACAGTCAGAATGTTTGTTTTTGTAGGTATTTTTGAGTTATAAAACCATCTGTAGTTTAATAAATGTAAAGTAGAGCTGTTTAATGTCATACTGTGGAACATTCCAGGCAGAGCTGTGACATCTCCATAGAAATAAGCAGATGATAGACCCAGAAAAGTTGCACAGTGCACCTTTAAATAATGCCCACATCTGAAATTCCGCTGTTATGAAGTTAATGATTTATAAGAGCAGTAATTGTGGTTTGAATTCGGAGTGAAAGTGAATCGTAAGTACGTCTCCAGTCACTAGCAGCCAACAGTTTGTACACACTTTTTCATTAATGTTTCTTCTTCTTTATTTCCGTGATTCTTTACATTATTGATGCTCATTAAAGGCATCAGAATTATGAATGGACCCATGTGGAATGTAGTGCACAGAAATAGACTCCAAACCTGTTTTTGGTTTTTAAAAATAGCCACACTTTGATCACTGCTTTACTTTGATCAGTGTGTGTTCTTTCTTGACCCTGACGTGACACACCTGTACTCCAGCATTATTTATATCCTGCATCATGTATTCAATGTGTTCAGTGTGTATAACATGTATAAAGAAAAAACATCCAAAGAAAATGAAACTGATGCTGTTAGACCAGGGCTTTTCTGCAAAGTTCTATCTCCACAAATAAAGTTTCAAAAAGAACATTTCAAATCACCACAGTAGTTTCTCTAGGGGTGAATAGACTAAAATATATTTTACTGAAACAAGGAGCATTACCTACTAGGGCTGGGTATCGTTAAGAAGCTGTCGATACGATACACATCTTGATACACAGGCCACAATACGATACGCTTTTCGATACAGTGCACTTTCGATTCAGTACGATTTGATACGATATATTTCAAATCGATTTGATATGGTTAAAGGCTAAATCATGGCTGTGAAAGTAAAAGTCCAATAAGTCAACTAAATTTGTGCAAAGTTAATATGAAAAACACCCATTTTACTCAAAACTGCGAAAATATCAACACAATTGTAGCTCTTACACAAAATAATTCAGTAAAATATACCTAAAAGTACTCTCAGCAATATCTCGATACAGCAGTCCACGATATCAATACTGTATCATCAAATTAAGCGATACGATATATCGATATTTCAATATTTTTGCACACCCCTATTACCTACTCACTAATAAACTCTGTATTACATTAGATTACTTCATTTCCAGCTGAAACATGAGCAGACAGAATCCTGAGGTATAAACTGTAACATGTTTCATGCTGTTTAATCACACTGTGTCACTTTTTAGCCCAAGTATAAAAACACTGAAAACATCTCCACAAACCTGACACTTCTAACTTACTTACTTATGGTCAGGAGGAAGGCCTCCTCCTGCTCGTCTCCACGGAAATGTTGTTCTTTTTTAATCTTCCGCAGTATGGCATTTATATCCCATCTGTCTATATGGAGAATGTTCCGAGGTTCGATTTTAACTTCCTATTTTACTGGAATCGTGCAAGTTCCATACTGTACACTTAAAGATGATGACTGTAACTTTTCTCATGTGGAGCCTCGTGCTCGTCTCCATGGAGATGTTCCACAGTGTAGCATTTAACATGCAACAATTACAGTGTTATAACTGCTTTAAACATACAGTGAAAACATTATGGAACATTCTCTCTGGAGACAAGAACACAAATGTGGGTCAAGTAACCAAAAAATGTGCTCAAATAAGAATAACGTTACTTCAAAATAATATTAGTCAAATAGAAGTACAAAGTAGTGGTCCAATAATTACTCAAGTAAGAGTAATTTATCATTTAAAGTGAATTTAATTTAAAGGACAAAACAATAAATAATGCACAAAATCTGGTATTTTTAAAGGATAGACACAAAAATGAGAAAAACTAAATCAAATGTTCAAATCACTTCATATTGTCACATAAAGTTTTTGTCACTTGTAGTTTTAATCACAGAGGCAAGAGAAACCAAAACTTTGACTCAAGTAAGAGTACTGTTACTTCAGTAAGAAATATCCCTCAAGTGGGAGTAAAAGTATGCTGCTAGAAAAGCACTCTGAAAAGTACAGTTTGTTTAAGAAGTTACTCGCGTACTCCCCACGTCTGGTCACTAGTTTCACATGTGTATTATTATATTATTATTATATTATATTATATTATATTGTATTTGATCACATGTGTGGATCTCTTCACAGACACATTTGACTTGGCTCCTGTGTACTTCTCCTCACTATAAAACCTTTGACTTGAGGAAATTAGTATAATATTTTTGATGACTTGGCATGATTGTGTAATATTACGGTAATTATGCAACGTTCCTGGTGTAGTGTGTGTCTGGAGTACAGACCTCACTCACTGCTGCTGCTGTTTTACTGGCAATAGGCAAAAAACTTTTAAGTACAGAAATGAAAGTTTTACATTATATTTACAATAATTGAAATCGTATTGTCAGAGTTCTCACAATAATATCGTGGACTATCACAATATATCGAATTACAAGTCTCTTTGCTTAAATGAAAAGTTATGGTGCAACAATAGCTAAAAAAAAGACAGAGGGAACTACATAGACCATGATCCTTTGCTCCATTTCAGTGCAGACGACATGAACAAATAACAGTTCTAACACTTTTAAATCTTAGTTCTTTGGATTAAGTCTTGTCAAGGCATTTTAAGAAGAAAAAGTAGTGTATTAACAGCTTTGTTAAACTCCACAAAATATTGTAATAAATATCGTATCGGGAGATGTATATTATGAAAATATCGCACTGAGAGATTTGGATATTGTTACATTTCTAATCGTGAGTCTCCCCACCATATCATGAGCTTTCCCACAATATTGCTACAAATTTCATACTGTGAGGTTCATACCGTGATGATATCGTATTGTGATACTTGGATATCATTACTCTATAAATACCAGGGATTTAACGATATCCAACTCTCACGATACGATATCGTTACATGCCTAGTATTTGTAAGTAGTGATGGGTGATACCAGTGATTTTTGTGTGTCATACTTGAAATGCTTGAAAGTCTTGTACTAAAGACTGTCAAAAGTTTAGAACATCAGATACTAGATACTCATTTGAAGTATCGATACTAAAAAAGTCACATTCACACATCAGAAATTAACTTTTCTTGAATAACTTTAGAATGATCTTGAGCTGTATCAGAACAAGTATGAGAGCCCAAACATTAAAAAAAAAAAAAGGGACAATCCAGTTCCAATCCAGTTGTCCACTGCTACTCAGATGTTCAAATATGTGTTTCTTCTTGGCTTTTTAATTTTATTTAATTTTACTTTGTATTCTTAGTGGAATAAAAAAATAAAAAATAATAAATTGTCAGTACTATAATAGAGAGATATGTGAAGTGAAAGAAGGATGAAGGGGAAAAAATTGTACATTTGTGATTTGAAACTGTCATCTCTATTAGACTGTCAATAAAAATTTGAATAAAAAAAAAAGGTATGAGAGTACACAGACTACTGTTAGTGGTACTCGTAGTAGTGAGGGATTACACAGATATAAGACCACATGGTGATATAAAAAGTACTATTATTTAATGTTGAAAAGTCACATTGTGTTTTTCATTATCATTGTGGTATCAGTATTGAGTATCGAGTCTGTTCCTTAGTATTAAAATCGAGTTTGTAATTTCAGTATCGTGACAACTCTTCTCCTCTTCTCAGCACGTTCTGAGTCTGAATGATTCCAAGTTGTTCCCCAGTATTCCCAGAGCTCTTCTCCGGTGGTCTTCTGGTTGGGGAGTTCTTTACATTGACAGAGTCCATAGTGCGGTCCCCGTGTCCGCTCCTCCTGTCTCCTCCTGACCACTTGACATGCAGCACACACCAGCGCAGCGCCAAAGGACCGGCTCCCTCCACCATTAGCATGCAGCCGCGGGCCTCTATATCACTCACCGGACACTAACATCCAAACTTACAGA